CCGAGTGGTTCAAGAGTAAACTCTGTAAAAGCGCAAAAATACGCCCTTACAGAGCTGGTGCAGAGCGCGTCTGGTAGCCAGCCTATCAGCGGCATGTGCGATGGATGTATGCTTGGAAAACAGCACAAGCATCCATACCCTGCATCAGAGAAACGTGCTAGCAAACCCCTCGAGCTTATCCACACTGATTTGATGGGCCCCTGGCCTACTCAGTCGTTGGAAGGTTCACGCTACACAATTTCGTTCTATGACGATTTCTCGAGCTTTGGCATGATGGTGTTCATTAAATCAAAGGACCAAGCCTCTACCGCGATCAAAAACTTTGTTGCCCTAGTAGAGCGTCAGCTCGGCACAAAAGTACTGGCCTTCCGGTCAGATCGTGGAGGCAAATATATGTCCGATGAACCCACAGCCTGGCTCAGTGCACGTGGTATTATGCACCCTAAGTCCGCGCCACGCGAACCACAGCAAAATGGGAGGTCTGAACGTTGGAATCGCACAGCCTACAAGAAAGCGGAATGCATGCGCCTCGATGCCGGCCTATCCAAAGGCTTCTGGCAATGTGCTATGGATGCATCTGTCCACGTTCATAATAGACAACCTATGGCACGATTGGGATGGCGAACACCTGCGGAACTGTGGCTTGGAAAGAAGCCAGACGTCTCTTATTTCCGTGTGTTTGGATGCAAGGCGTCTCTCTATGTGGATGTTGAAAAACGCCCGAAAGGGTTGGAGCATGGACGCCCCAACCACACCTTCGTTGGATACGAACGAGAGACAAAAGCTTGGAAAGTGTGGGATCCAAATCAACGCAAGATACGAGTCTCTTCAAATGTTGAGTTCGATGAGCGAGTATTCCCTGCCAAGTCCAAGCTAGTCACCGGCAATGTGTCCTCTGGACCAGAGCCGTTCACACCATTCGAGGAAACCTTCCCTGACCTTATCAATAATCCTGCGCCTGCAACGCCTTATGCAAGCATACCACCTCCTGCTCTCCCACCGCCACCGGCACCCCTCGCGCAACAAGGTCCTGTCACGGGATCGCGAGAAGTACCCCTAATGCCTGGCCCGATAGACGATCGCCCGATTGCCCATCGCCGCCCTCGTCGGAATAAGCCCCGCATTATGCCAGATGGAACTACGTATCAGAGGCCTAGCAGCATTGAGTCCATGTTGTCAGCTGCCCAAGCTGAGCATGACTTGCCTCAAAACGTGCGGGATGTAGCAAAGAGCCCGGATGCACTCAAGTGGGAGCGCGCAATGCGCGAAGAACTGGACTCTCTCAAGGAAAACTGTACTTGGGATTTGACCAGCCTTCCACGCGGTCGAAAGACTGTCAAATGCAGATGGGTGTTTAGCAGGAAGCGTGACGGTCGTTTCAAAGCACGACTTGTTGCCAAGGGATTCACTCAGGTTCATGGGTTTGACTATGATGAGACCTTCTCACCAGTATTGCGCTATGAATCTTTGCGCATACTTATGGCTCTGGCTGCTCTCGAAGATTGGGAGATTCATGCCATGGATGTCAAAACGGCATTCCTAAACGGGGATCTGGAGGAAGAAATCTATATGGAACTTCCGGAATTACCCAAAGGTTTCTCGTCATGGCCAAAAGAAAAGGTGGCACGCCTTCGTAAATCACTCTATGGGTTGAAACAGGCGTCTCGTCAGTGGAATATCAAAATCCACAATGCCCTCCTCGAACTTGGTTTTGCTCGGACATACTCCGACGCCGGTGTCTACACATATCGCCAACAAATGGGAGATACGGTCATCATCTTGGTGCTGTATGTTGACGATATGCTCATTATGGGCAACAATCTGCCGGAGATAGCGCGGATCAAATCATTGCTCGCGAACCGCTTCAAAATGACAGATCTTGGTCCTGCAAAGGATTTCCTTGGTCTGAACATAGTTCGTGATCGCAAAGCGCGTAAAATCTGGATCGATCAGGCTTCCTATATCGAAGGAGTTCTAGAACGATTCCGGATGTCTTCGTGTAAAGAAGCTCGTACTCCCCTGCCTTCCGGCATCGTGCTCGAGAAGCATGATGGAGAAGTTGATGAAGACCGTCGTACCCGATACCAGCAACTGATTGGCAGCCTTCTATACGCCATGCTTGGTACTCGCCCCGACATTGCCTATGCAGTCATCCGTCTATCAAAGTTCAACAGCAACCCGTCAGAACATCATTGGAACATGGCAAAATACATACTCCGGTACCTTCAGGGCACCAAAAACTACCAACTTTGCTATGATGGATCCACTGGCGCAGGCCTTATCGGTTATTCCGATGCTGATTGGGCGGAGAACAAAGACGACAGGCATTCAACCACGGGATATTCCTTCTTCATCGCCGGTTGTGCAGTGACCTGGGTTTCTAGACGCCAACCCACGGTCGCTTTGTCCTCAACAGAGGCCGAATACATGGCTCTGAGCGATGCTACGCGCCAGATTGCCTGGATCCGCACTTTGTTGACTGAGCTAGGATATGACTTGCCATCCACGCCTCTTTGTGTTGATAACCAAGGCGCTATCTTTATGGCAGTAAATCCAGTTCATGATAGGAGGACGAAGCACATCGACATCCGCTATCACTTCGTACGAGAATCCGTCGAAGCTGGCAATGTCCAACTTTACCATGTGCCGACTGATGCGATGATCTCCGACACGCTCACAAAGTCTCTGGCATGGGTGAAGTTCCAACAACATTGGCTGTCTTTGGGTCTTCGTGATCCGACTGTTTAGTCGAGTGGGAGTGTTGAAGCTTGTTTGTATTAGCGACTATCACAGTATGTAGACATGACATCATAAGTAGTATTCTTAGATTACTTTGGCTCGCTCCACAATGACCTCATACCTGACCTCATTATTGTGTCATCCATTACTCATCTATGATATCATTACTCCACTATGACATCATGATATCTGCTCCAGACTGGTATATAAACCTAGTACTATACGCTCCATATCCTCAGCTCCTGTGTCTTACAGTCGCTGAGGTATGCATTCTCCCTTACGATCTAATGACCCTTACTTATGACTTGTACCACAGACTCTGTGTCTTTAGGTACAGCTAATGCTAAGCTCCTGTGTCTTACACTCGCTGAGACTCTGTGTCTTTAGGTGATCGCTACTGGTCGTATCTCCACTGCGCGGTATTGTCTGCGACATTTGGCTGGTACTAGGAATTATTCACTCATTTTCAATGGTGCAACAGATAGAGGGCTAATCGCCTTTAGCGATTCAGACTGGGCTGCTGATCCAATCAAGAGGAGGTCTACCACTGGTTTCTTCACAAAACTGGCAGATGGGATTATTTGCTGGCAGTCTAGACTTCAGTGCACTGTTGCGCAGTCTTCGACCGAAGCAGAATACATGGCAATCTCAGATTGTAGTTGCCAGGTGATGTGGCTGAAGAGCGTCCTTTCGGAACTCCAGTTCAAGCTCACCATCCCAATACCCATTTGCGGTGACAATCAGGGTGCACTCTTCAGTGGCAGCAATGCCTACCGAGACCACAGGATGAAACACAAAGACATCCGCTATCACTACATTCGTGAGCAAGTCGAGGAAGAAGAGGTTGAACTGTTCTTTATCCCGGGCAGTGAGAATCCTGCAGATATGTTCACCAAGAACCTAGGATGCATCAAGTTCAAGAAGTTCAGATCTCAACTAGGACTTGAGTTCAACTCGTCCTGAAGGAATGGCCAATGAAGATTTCGCTTTCAAACACTATCCCATGGTTTTCAGCATGGGGGAGTGTCGATCAATTATCATCTGTCAAGATGGACGTCGTGATACACATCTATGACTCCATCATGTGTCATCTAGAGTTATGTTGACTCGTCCTAAATAGACACAAACAGCCCCCTGTATCATATATAAGGAGGGCTCTATGACCCTTTAATACAAGTCTCTTGACTACTCCTGCATAGTGCCCACACTAAGCTCTCAACTCACACAGGTGGGTTGCTAGATGCTCTCCCCAGTGCTCAACAGGAGGAAAAAACAAGTTTTCTGTGAGAGCGCAGCGACAGCAATTGTTAAGGTACCAAGCAACCGATGGTGGTTCACTTACACAAAGCCCAAGCTGGGAGACAACAAACCAGTGCTGGCCTGCCATGGAGTGCAGGTTCCGGCTGACCGGATGAGTGGCCTTGCACGTACTGCTTCTCTTCCCCAAAGCAGAGAAACCATAGTAGGGTTTTTGTTTTGGGGGACTCTCCTGTTTGATTCCCAGTGGATACTTTTATCTGAGGGATCTCCATCAGGCTCATGCTGCCAATCCAAGTTTTTTTTTACTAGCTAAGCTGAATTTGTCAAAGAAGCAGATTAGAGCCTGTATAGGACAACCGGAAATGAGCAGCAACAACAAGTAGTTGGACACTGCTAGATGTTGTTACTTTCTATACATTTCCGGCGTTGGGAATAAGAAAAATTGTTAAATTTGGCAAGAAAAAAAAAGCAAATTTAGGGGGGGGGGCTAGCGTGTTTCCGGACAAAATCCGTCATTTTCAGGCAGAAACATGCCAGACAAAACTGGCCAATTTCAGATTTATTTTGGCGCTAGCCTTATAAGGCATAATCAGAGGTCCTGCCCTGCTCCAGAAGGACCTTGGTTGACTGCTCAAATGACCCAAGTCCCATTGGCCATTGAGAGACCGTTATAGATCATGCGACAACTTGGACATGAATTACGGACCGGAGAAGCCACAATCAAGAACTTTTCGTCCTTCTGCCGCAACTCTCCGGTCCGAAAAAAACAGAACTGTGAAATGGTTTCATTCTACCTCAGGAGAAAAGCAGTCCAGGTTGTGTCAATAAGAGGGGAGGGGGGTGCAAAATTAGTGAATCAGCTGACATGGCTCTAGCCTAATATCGCTGGTATCGCCATAATTCCTAACAACAGATCTGCCAAGGCTTACGAGGCTAGCGTTAATCAGCGGCATGGTATCCGCGTAGTCGCCGATCATCACGGACGCACACGTGACACAAATGGGTTATCTCACAGCCACCATTCAATAACGTCACTGGACGACATTCCGTAAGGATTTGGCCCAGGCCAAACCCCATATATAGATAAAATATGACGCAATTGATGTGATGTGAATCAAGGCTGTGCTCAAATCACAAACGCTCCACAGGCCAAATCAGCATGATTTGGCCTGGTTTGGCCGAGGCTCAAGACCCTCGGCCAAATCCAAAAAAGGCATTTCCATCAGGCCAAATCGTTGCCGACGATCGACGCTTCTCTCTTGCCGCATTGCACGACATGTAAGTATTGTTCTCTCTTCCTAAGCTCTCAAAATGGCCGGCAAGCAACACTCAACGCGTTCTAGCCAAGCTTCTCAACCCTCTCCATCTAATTATGTGCTATTTTGACGGCGCCGGGGTCCGGCACCTACAGCACCATCCGCTTTGCGTGAGCATGGCATAAACCCCTGCAATTCCCAAGGCCAACTCTTCCTCCTTCTCCTCATCCTTCTTCCTCCCATTCTTGAAGTAATTGGTGTGCTCTCGAGGCCATGGTAGCATGTAGAAAGTAGAGATGTACATTATCAATTGTCTATCATATCTGATCCGGCTGGCCTCGATTTCGTCTCCGGTTTCACAGTGAGGCCAAATGTCACGTTACCATTACGTCATTTCTGATTTGGCCCGGGCCAAATCCTTACGGAATGTCGTCCACTCACTCCCAGTGCTGCTTTAAAAGCTCATCTTCCGGTCTATTCGAGCCACAACGTCCCCTGCACATCGAAATCGACTCGGAACATGAGCTCTCCGTACCCTGGCCAAAAAACCGCTGTCAATATTGTCTTGGTGCGCTGTTGCGGGAGTCTGTATTGTGGACACCACCTCTGATCTACTACCCACAGGGTGCCATGACTTTCGGGGCACCGGGGACACTAGGGGCGCGTCTTTCAGATATTAAAGATATCGAGGCCATTATCGATGAATTTCTCAGCCACGGTCATCGCGAGGTGCGTTCTCTTCCCCACAATTCACTTTCCACACATGACTGGTGCACCCGTAGATAGATGCAGCACGCGTATATGGCAATGGCACGAATGAACAGTACCTCGGGCAGATCGACTGGAAGAACAAGGGCGTGCTGATGGAGACAAAGCTGTACCCGGTCTCAGTTCGCAAAATCTCTGCCCTGTGCACATATTCGACACTGACTGAATCAGCCGGAAACGGACTTCGCCGGAAATCACTCGCCCGCCAGCATCCGCAAGTTCTGCCAGATGTCTCTAGATGCTCTCAAGACCGAGTGCGTGCTCTCTCTGCAGCTGATGCTGCAATGACTGAACCATCATCACTCAGCACAATTGAAATGTGGTATCTGCACGGTCCGGACCGCAAGACCCCCTTCGAAGACACACTACGCGCTGTAAACGAGCTCTACAAGGAGGGCAAGTTCAAGCGTTTGGGGATCAGCAACTACATGTCATGGGAGGTGGCCGAGCTTTGCGGGATCTGTGAGCGCAACGGCTGGATCAAGCCGACTGTGTATCAGGGCCTCTACAACGCGATCCTTCGGACCGTTGAACCCGAGCTCTTCCCCTGCTTGCGTAAATTCGGGATTGCATTTTACGGGTTCAACCCTGTGGGCGGGGGATTCTTTACGGGTCGGTACTCCAGCATTACCGACGAAGCGGATAGCACCTCCCGCTTCTCTGGCGAAGGACGTGTCAGCACTGTAAGATCGATCCAATCGACTCGTTATTTTTCCCGTGCTTGACACCTCTTACCAGCTCTACCGCAAGCGATACTGGCAGCAAGCATATTTTGACGGGTTAAACAAAATCTCTGCAGCAGCGGACAAACACGGCCTTACGATGATTGAAGTGGCGTTGCGCTGGACCATGCATCATTCTCTGATGAAGCGCGAATTCGGAGATGCGGTCCTCATCGGTGCATCGAGCATGGCGCATATCAAACAGGTGCACATCTAATTAAATTATCCTCTTTATTTTTGACTCACCCATCGTAGAATCTGGCGGATTTTGAAAAGGGAGCGCTGCGTAAGTGACCTGAAAAGTTGTGAGAATATTTTCTCATGTGTTTTCAGCCGAAGATGTCGTCGAGGCTTTGGACGAGGCTTGGGCCGGTGTCAAGGGAATCGCAAACCCCTACTACCATTAGTTACTCAACTCTATTGCTATTCGGCTCAGTCGCCCGAAGCTCAATCTTTTCAATTTTCTTCTTTACCGTTCTACTGTCAATGTGCGAGTGTAGCCATTGCTCCGTTGCTTTCGTCCAGCAAATTCATGAATCGTGACTGTCCCATCAGACAACTCATTGCCTCACACCATCGCTAGTGTGATGTGCTGGACCTCATTTGGTCGTCACACAATAGGAGGCATTGCCATTATCACTACTCGAGCAGTCACTCATGTAAGTAATGGTGATACCACATGTGACTACTCGTGCTCGCTGTTATCCGGTGGGGTCACGTGCTCTCAGTCCTCCAGTCACGACAAAGACCTTCTCCTTCGAATCTGCTCGCCAACCTTACGTGCTGTCCAGACAAGGGTCAACTGCCTTGTATCACGCAGTTCTTTGATTACTTTCGTTGCTTAGAGTGCCGAAGACTGACCCTCAACAAATTCTCACTGGTCAAATCGGCCCATGCAATCCTCTCTCACTCCTTTCAAATGTGGTAGACGTACGAGGACTCTAAGCTCCATCGGACGATGTCCGTAATGCGCTCCCCGCACACTCTTCTTCGCTTTGACTGACCTCCCCACCTCCTGCTCAACGCGCTAGACCGATCACGACGCTCGTCCTGCTCGCCGTCCCGTCGCACTCACTCACCCCGGGCTGGATCAGGTGCACCCCGCTGCTAGCGCATGAGCTGGGATATATGGGCAGAAGATTCCGGCAGGTAGCGTACCAGCGGCGCGCTACCCGCGCCAGCCCGACTTTACTCGCGGATCTGTTCATGGGCACGGACGAGCCGGCGGACTCGTCAGCCCAGGAGGACGATCTGCCTGGGGGCCATGCTGGGGAGCCTGGGGCGCTGAAGGGAATCCACGAGCAGCGGGAGGTGCGGTGGATCGACGAGATGCGCTGGATCAGCGAGGACCGGGGTCGAGGTGCTGCGGAGGCAGGTGCTTGGGGAGGAGGTGCTTGCGATGTGATGTCTGCGTGCGGCTGGAGTGTGTCACTTGGGCTGAGCTCGATTTCATATTGGACGACAGCCCTTCTCTAGGTGACCGTTCCGATGTAATTGTACGGGTGCATCAGACTTAGACTGTGCTCACTCTGCACAAGCACCTGCTTGCTCTCGATCTCCTTCACAAAGCAGCCTGGGGGAATCTAACGCATCACCAGCCGTCTCTCTGCTACAAAGTCCTGAATCCCAGGGTGACGTAACTGACCACAAGTTTGAGAAATTCAAAGCGCAGAAATAGAGAGGAAATGCTGAACTATGATGGTCTTGCACCTTCGACTGGTTGGCTCCGAGTTGACTCGAATCTTGACACGGAATTTTAGAGCATGCATACCCTCCCATGTTCTTCTGTTGTGAGCTCAAAGAGTACAAAGTATCGGATCCGGGGACCGCGCACTGGGTCAAACTCTTGACTCACGACTCGGGGCCGGCGTAGGCTCAGTTCCCACCGCCTTGTCTCCGCGGCGGATACTTCCAGCACGTTGTGGGAACCAAAGTTTTTCGCAGTCATCATCCGGGACCTCAAGGAACCGAGACGGCCGAGGTGACTCACCCTCGCCTCCGTGCTCAAGTCCTATATGAACACGCTTCGGCAGCACTACGTTGGCACCAACACCTCTAGCCCCTCGCAAAATCCACCATGCTCTCCGATCCACTCGAGCTCAATCACATCACACCCCCCTCAGGCGACTCCGAGAAATTGGAGCCCACGAAAATTCACGACAGGGAGGACGTCGAGTATCCCCGCGGGATGAAGCTCGCGTTGATCGTCCTCGCGCTGTGTCTGTCCGTTTTTCTGGTCGCCTTGGTGGGTTGAATTATGTCTAAGACGCCCGGCTTTGTATTCTGATCTCGTTGGCGCAGGATAATACCATCATCGGTCAGTCGGTCGGGACAGGCGGGTCACTTGATGCCATAATGACAACTTTTTTGCAGCGACCGCAATCCCAAAAATTACCGACCAGTTCAACAGCTTGGCTGATGTCGGGTGGTATGGCTCTGCGTCAGTCGCTCGGTGTTACTGTTGAACTTTGCGCTGACAACCAAAAAGATATCTGCTCACGACGTCCGCGTTCCAATTGCTGTTCGGGCGCTTCTACTCGATCCTCTCTCTCAAATGGGTCAGAATAAGTTATATTTTGCGGAGCTACACGTAACTGACGACTCAAATCAGGTATACGTCGCTGCGATCGTCATCTTTGAGCTGGGGTCCCTCATCTGCGGTGTCGCGCAAAACTCGACGACGCTCATCGTGGGACGCGCCATCGCCGGTCTGGGCAGCTCTGGCATCTTTTCCGGCGCGCTCATTATCATCGCCAACTCCGCCCCGCTCGAGCGACGGCCGATGTTCTCGGGGATCATTGGGTCGATGTATGGCATGGCCAGCGTGGCCGGCCCGCTGCTGGGAGGTGCTTTCACCGACAAAGTGACGTGGAGGTGGTGCTTCTACGTGCGTCTGAGAATACGTGGCACTCGACGCGTCAACTGATGGGATTTTGCAGATCAATCTCCCGCTAGGAGCGGTGACGCTCTTGACTATCGTCATCTTCTTCAAGTCTCCGCCGCGCGTCAAGGCTCGCGGAAACCTGACTCTTGTCGAAAAAATACGCCGATTCGACCCTGTCGGAACGCTCGTCTTTGTCCCAGCCATCATCTGTCTGCTGCTCGCGCTGCAGTGGGGTGGGTCGAGATATGCCTGGTCGAACGGGCGGATCATCGCGCTCTTTGTGGTCGCCGCTCTTCTTCTCTCTGTCTTCGTCGCAGTCCAGATCCGGGAGCAGGAGAACGCAACGGTGCCTCCGCGGATCTTGCAGCAGCGCAGCATTCTCGCCGGAGCATGGTTCATGTTCTTCACCGGCGCATCGTACTTTCTTCTTGTGTACTACGTGAGTGGCTGCACGTCACTGCTGTCGCGCCCGCTGACAAACACGACCAGCTCCCGCTCTGGTTCCAGGCCATCAAGGGCGTCTCCGCCGTGAAATCCGGCATTGATAATCTGCCGCTGATCATGTCCCTCGTCGTCGCTTCCCTCATCGCCGGTGTCCTCGTCTCGGTCACCGGGTACTACACACCGTTCGCGATCGCGGCGTCTGTGCTCATCGCCATCGGAGCGGGGCTGATCTCGACCTTCACCCCGACGACTGGCCACGCGCACTGGATCGGGTACCAGGTCGTCTACGGACTGGGGATGGGATGCGGGACCCAGCAGCCGATCTTGGCAGCGCAGGCGGTGCTCAAGATTGAGGATGTCCCCACCGGGACCGCCGTGATGGCATTCCTCCAAGTGCTGTGCGTTTCGATGTTTTGCACCTCACTGCTTGCCCTCTCAATTGTCCAAACAGCGGCGGCGCGCTGGGCGTCTCGATCAGCCAAAACGTGTTCACGAACACGCTCATCTCCCGCGTCGCCTCCCGCGCGCCGAACGTCAGCGTCTCGACCGTCATCCACGCCGGCGCCACGAACCTGCGCACCGCAGTCCCCGCTGCCGACCTCCCGGGCGTGCTGCTGGCATACAACGATGCGCTGATGGCGGCCATCTATGTCTCTGTAGCTACAGGCGCACTCTCGGTGTTTGGGGCCCTCGCGCTCGAGTGGAAGAGCGTGAAGAAGCGTCCGAGTGGGGATGTTGATGCCGGGGGCTAGGGCACAGGGCTGTCCCCTGATTCTGTTCACTTTAGAGTAGACATTCTGTTAATCGTTGAATCGGCAGAGAAATCACTGGTTCCTCTGCTCAAAAAAATCTTTTCTGGGGGTGTTCCCACCTGGATTGCACGCTTTTCTCAAGCTCTGATGGAGAATACTCGTTCGGACACGCGCGAACACCGACGATCTTTCTGGGCACGTGGTGTTGCATGACATCTGCAACACGAGCACGTGCCATCCGTCACCCGGGCTTGCTCTCGACCGCCGACGACTGTACGACGGAAAATGCCATTGCTCGCGCCGTCCTCGCCCCCGCCATCTTCTGCGACTTCGAGAAATGTTGAATTAACGCCCGTAACCGCGCCAGAGGCGATCTCTCAGCCTCCCGTGCCACCAGATTCTAAACCCGACTCGACCGTCGCGTGACTGACACTGGATCTGGATGGTCTGCGCGCCGAGGCAGCGTGCTAACAAGGGGATCCGGTTCTTGAGAAATAGGACGTATCCAACCAACGATGTAGCGATTTCCGTAATTGACCATCGTCCTGTCACAAGGCCTCTTCCTTCGCATCTCCTTGAGAACCATTCTTACGCACTGTCCAGACGAGGGCCACTTGCCAGGAAAATAATGAAATTCTACAATCCAAAATTGCTGAGAGCGCCGACGACTGACCCTAAGCGGATTTTCGCTGGTCGATTCGCCTTGTGTAGATCGTCTCCTTTCAAATTGCACGCGTCCGAAGTATCTAAGCTCCGGCCGATGATGTCCGTGATACGCTTCCAACACACTCTTCTTCGCTTTGACCGCGACTCGAGTAGACCTCCGATGTTTTCGAGCTGCTTGAATGGCGCAAGGCAGCCCAATATCATGCTAGTCCCGCACCAGAGGCTTTGCATTAGTTCTCTATGCGAAGGTAGGTGGCCCAATAATGCCGCAAACTTTTGGACCTACGTTCCTCCTGTGACCTGTTCATTTGTTGTTGAGCCATGTTCAAACTAACAATTCTTGCTCGATCTGCTTGTCCTGTCTCCTGTACTATCACCCAGATACCTTCACAAGATGAGATTCATTTCACTACCGGTTACATGGTGCTTCATGATCGAAGTTTGCCTGCAACTGACGGCAAGTTTTTGAGGGTACAAATGTGTATAGTATGTTACTTGACTTGACCAGAGTATGAACCTTTGCCCTCTGAAGAGGAGCGGAACTGGTTGAGCGGAAGCTGATAGTATACCGAGCATTCGGGATCGTCTTTGGTGCGTCCAGTTGATCGAAAAAAGTCAGGCCGAAGACTCGGAAAGCCTGAGCTCCGGAAAGCCGGTCCTAACTCCAGTGTGACGAGCCCATGTGGGAGTGTTACTCGGAGTACGATGCCGAGGCTCATAGCAAATTCTACACGATCAGTGGCGCAATGCGAGGAAAGTCTACGCCGGGATGGGATATTTTCACTAGCATCCTGGACAAGATCTTTGAGCAAATAATAGTTTTAGGTTAGAGAATTTTGAACTGAAAGGACGTCAAATTGTTGTCTTTACCAATTAGAACATTCCGAAAGGATCGGCTGCAGAAAGCGCCTCGAAGAAGGTCGAAACAATTCCAGACGGCTGGTACCAGACCAGTCAGTGACGTGATATCCCAAGCTCTCCTCCCGAAGCACCCCTGCTGACTGCGCTAATGCCGCAAGTCTCACTGGCAACTGAGAGACCGTTACTAATCATACGACAAGTTCAACGATAAGCATGGGCCAGAGAAGCCACGATGCAGAATTTGTCGTCCTTCTGCCGCAGCTCACCGGTCGAAAGATAACAAAATCGTAAAATGGTTTCAGCCAGCCTCAGAAAAAGAGCAGTCCAGAGTTGAATCGATAAGAAAAGCAGATACGACATTCGCGAATCGGATGAGATCGCTCGCTTTAGCCTGATATCGCTGGTAATCGTCACAATCTCCATTCCACAGATCTGTGGAGGCTTACGAAGACGACCTTAATCAGCGGCATGGCATACGCGTAGTCGCCGATGATCACAGAGTCACACAGCCGGTTTATCTCACAGCCACAATTAAATCACGTCACTCACTCCCAGTGCTGCTTTAAAGGCTCATGTTCCAGTCTATCCAAGCCACAACCTCCCCTGCACATCGAAATCGACTCAAAACATGACCACTCCGTATCCTGGCCAAAAAACCGCTGTCAATGTTGTCTTGGTGCGCCGTAGCGAGATTCTGCAGTGCGGACGCCACCTCTGATCTACTGCGCACAGGGCGCCATGACTTTCGGGGCACCGGGGACATTGGCAGCGCGTGTCTCTGATCTCAAAGATATTGAGGCCATCATCGATGAATTTCTCAGCCACGGCCATCGTGAGGTGCGTTCTCCGCCTTGTGATACACTTTCTGCACACGAGTGAGTGCGCCGGCAGATAGACGCAGCTCGCATGTACGGGGATGGCACGAACGAGCAGTACCTCGGGAAAATCGATTGGAAGAGCAAGGGGATTTTGATGGAGACAAAATTGTACCCGGTTTCGGTTCGCTAAATCTCTGCTTTCTACGTGTGTTTGACGCTGACTGGATCAGCCGGAAACTAGCCACATCGGCGATCACTCACCGGCCAGCATTCGGAAGTTCTGTCAGATGTCTCTCGATGCTCTCAAGACCGAGTGCGTGGTCTCTGCGAAGTCCAGGTTGCGATTATTGAACCAACATCATTCAGCACGATCGAAATGTGGTATCTGCACGGTCCGGACCGCAAGACCCCCTTCGAAGACACACTGCGCGCCGTAAACGAGCTCTACAAGGAGGGCAAATTCAAGCGTTTCGGGATCAGCAACTACATGTCATGGGAGGTGGCCGAGCTTTGCGGGATCTGTGAGCGCAACGGCTGGATCAAGCCGACTGTGTATCAGGGCCTCTACAACGCGATCCATCGGGCCGTTGAACCGGAGCTCTTCCCATGCTTGCGTAAATTTGGGATTGCATTTTACGGGTTCAACCCAGTGGGCGGGGGATTCTTTACGGGTCGGTACTCCAACATCACTGACGAGGCGGATGGCACCTCCCGCTTTCATAGTGAAGGCCGTGTCAGCACTGTGAGCTCGATCCAATCGACTCGTTATTTTTCCCGTGCTTGACACCTCTTACCAGCTCTACCGCAAGCGATACTGGCAGCAAGCATATTTCGACGGGTTGAACAAAATCTCTGCAGCAGCGGACAAACACGGCCTTACGATGATTGAAGTCGCTTTGCGCTGGACCATGCATCATTCTTTGATGAAACGCGAATTCGGAGATGCGGTCCTCATCGGTGCATCGAGCATCGCTCACATCAAACAGGTGCGCATCCCACGAAAATCATCTCATTATCTATTTCTGACTGGCCAATGCGCTATAGAATCTGGGCGATTTCGAGAAGGGACCGCTGCGTAAGTGATCCGAAAAGTTGTGAGCGTGGTTTTTAATGTATTTTCAGCCGAAGATGTTGTCGAGGCTTTGGACGAGGCTTGGGCAGGGGTCAAAGGTATCGCAACCCCCTACTACCACTAGTTTGTCTTCCTTTCGGCTGCCTGGAATTCAATCCTGTGAATCGCCCCATTCAACGTTTTCCAATGCATCAGTGCCGCGACAGCCAATCACGGCTCCATTGCTCCTCTGCTGCTCACGAGCCAAGTTGTGCATCATGACTGTCCGATGAAGCTACTTATCGAGGCATGCGCTCACTAGTGTAGGTGTGCTGGCCGCACTGCCGCAATAACTGCCACGAGACCTTGTCCTCCGAATCTGCTTGTCAGCCCTGCTTCCTGCCCAGACACTAGGGAGGGTTTCCTGTCAGGAATGATGAAATCCTGCTGTTCATTCTCTTATTGGAAGGTCTGACCCTGAACCCGATTCCGCTGTTCAAATTGCCGGCGAGAAGGACCATGTTTTCTCATCCTGATCCTTCTTTCTCTTGGTTGTCCTAGTCTCAATGCGCTGTCAATTGTCACCTTCTGCTTCGTTTGAGTCGTGTCTGTTCCACTGCAGCTCTTGTCCCTATTTCGTATGATCGATCTGTTACGACCATTGGGTCTTCATCGCTCCTTTGCTGCTACCACGTTTCGGTGCCCATAGGCACACGTGCATGCATCCATGGCCATCCTCATCACGGCATATCTATCACCAACGTGACGATTCCTTGTGCGTGAGGCTCTTGAAACACGCCGTCAGTCAGCCGCGCGACGAAAGGGAGCAACGGCCCTGAGATCAGCAATCTTTTGATAGAAATCATCACGGCATAGCAAGTTCGGTCGGTGTCTTGGCAAAGAAGGACCTCTCGCTATCTGGGTCCCCTGTCAATCCTCGAAAGAAGATTCAGCTGGTCCAGTCTGTCTAATCAAATTTGACATTGCGCAACGGGCCGTGGAATCCGTCCCACATGAGCCTAAGTGACGCCAATGGAATCAGTCAGCAACCTTTCTCTTCTCAGCTGCTTATTTTTTCGGTGGCAATGGTCCTGATTTGAGCTGTCAGCCAAAAATTTTGCACTACCTGGGTCAGGTGTTAGACCTAGAATCACTCGGAATGGTCTGACATGGTAGCTCTCTTTCGGCAGCAATAATAGGGGCATTGTAAAACTGTATACGTTAGATTAAACTGGGCCGCGGCAATCAGCGCAGCAAGCTCGTAAGCAAGGTATTTGGAGCTTGAAGTCAAAGTAATGGGCAACGCTGGTGGCTACAAATTCGCAGACAAGAGGGATTGCATTCCCTGCTTGCCGTCATGCATTGAGTCCATAGGCTATTTCGTAATAGTAGCCTGCCCACCTCTGACCCTGGTGTCCAGTAACCTCAGGGTCGAATGCTCGCAAACGTGCATTCCTAAAGTCAATAATGACCTAGACTTGGTTCCCAGAGCTCCATCCACCCTACCAGAATAAATGTCTCCGATAATGAATGCGTTCTATGGCTTCAGGAGCGCCGACTCCAAGAATCTGAATCGACCTGTCGCGGTACTACTTCGAGATACGGTCTCAGCCGATCGATGCTGATGTCATCAGCCGATTCCTTGAGCTGCTGAGTCACATCAGTTACCACATCCCCCGTTCTACCGAGTTCGGCAGAATCATTCAATCAGGCAAGTTTTCACTCAAATTTCAGTGGGGTGCGGTGCCTTAGGCGGCCCTGCTTCTTATCCTGGGTGCATTTTAGTGTGCAGCTGGCTCTGTAAATAGCACTTCCTTCGATGATCTGGATTTGGCAGGGAGGAAATCGTAAACGCGATCAGACTTGAAATCCAGAAAAAGTGCAAGTGGCTCAGAGATTGGACGAAGCTGACGCATTGCACACTTTGGACGGCCCGCGTACGTGAGACGCCCACGTACTTTAGTTTAATTGTGAGTCAACTGCGGCGCCGGAAGTAAAAGATCTGAATTGAGATCAACGCGCGTCTTGAGCCGCGATTGTGTCATAAGGGAGTTTGATCTTCGGTATAAATCATCCTCTTCGCTTTGGCGAGCTGCGTCCCTTTTTCCCTCCTCTCCCTCCCCTCCCCCTCACGAGTCTTTCACGCCGTGCAACGAACGCGAAACATGAACGATTCCAGAGCCGCGTCCCCCACGATCCGGGACTCCACTTCCGCCGCATCACATGAAGGCGCTGCAAGGGAGCTCAGCGAAAAAGCCGCCGTTTCTGAAGGAAAAGCGGGTGTCGATGCGCCCTCCGACGAAGAGATCCAGTATCCCCAAGGCGTCCGACTTGCCCTCATCACCCTTGCGTTGTGTCTCTCCGTCTTCCTCGTCGCCTTGGTATGTTTCACCTCCTTTGTTTGATCCACGCTTGACTGACCACGCTTCCGCAGGACAACACGATCATTGGTGATTACATCCCACGGCTGTCCATCGAGCGGGGACTAATCTCCTCCAGCCACTGCCATTCCTAAGATCACGGACCAGTTCAACAGCTTGGCCGATGTGGGTTGGTATGCATCCGCGTGCGTTTTTTTCGTTCTTTCATCTCGCTCTGCCGTTGACTGCGACCAGATACCTCCTCACGACTGCGGCGTTCCAGCTGCTGTTTGGCCGTTTCTACTCGTTCCTGTCTTTGAAATGGGTGCGTGCTCCACGCGATACATCCCTCAATGCGCTCATCCTGTCCAGGTCTACATCACCGCGATCGTCATCTTCGAAATCGGCTCCCTGATCTGTGGTGTGGCCCAGAACTCGACGACGCTCATCGTCGGACGTGCCATCGCCGGCCTCGGCAGCGCAGGACTCTTCTCTGGCGCGCTGATCATCGTCGCCAACTCTGTCCCCCTCACGCAACGCCCGATGTATACTGGGCTCATCGGTGCGATGTACGGCATTGCTAGTGTGGCAGGACCTCTGCTCGGGGGTGCGTTCACGGACAAGGTGTCGTGGCGGTGGTGCTTCTTCGTGCGTGCCATGTTTGTTTCGCTCTGCTTTTCCTCCTTTCTCACCTGCGCCAGATCAATCTGCCTCTCGGGGGTGTCACCCTCTTCGTCATTACGTTCTTCTTCCATGCGCCAAAGACCCACAGACAGGCGAAGCAGGAGATGACGCGCTGGGAACGGTTCAACCAGTTCGACCCGCTCGGAACGATCATCTTCGTCCCCGCCATTGTCTGCCTGCTGCTCGCGCTGCAGTGGGGTGGATCCAAGTACCCGTGGTCGAACGGGCGCATCATTGCGCTCTTTGTGATCTTCGCCGTGCTCATCATCGCCTTCGGCATCATCCAAGTATGGAAGCAGGACCTCGGCACAGTCCCTCCCCGGATCTTGAAGAAGCGCAGTATTCTGTTTGGCGCATGGTACGCACTGTGCCTCGGCGCGTCGTTCTTCCTGCTCGTGTACTATGTACGTCTCCGCTCACCTGACCGCGTTCTGAACCGCTGACTGATCTCCGCTTCCGTGTGCAGCTGCCGATCTGGTTCCAAGCCATCAAGGGCGTTACCGCCGTCAAGTCCGGGATCGACAACCTGCCGATGATTCTGTCGCTGGTTATCGCGTCGCTGATCGCGGGCGGCATCATCACCGCCGTCGGATACTATACGCCGTTCATGATCCTGTCCTCGATCCTCATGGGTGTTGGCGCCGGTCTGCTCTCGACGTTCACCGCAACCACCGGGCACGCGCACTGGATTGGGTTCCAGATCATCTACGGCTTGGGTGTCGGATTCGGCATGCAGCAGACGATCATCGCGGCGCAGACCGTGCTCGAGCTGAAGGACATTGCGACCGGAACATCCCTCCTCATGTTCATCCAGACTCTGTGAGTGTGCATTGGTATCCTCCGGCATCTTCACGGTTACTGACACTCCTGTCAGTGGCGGCGCACTGTTTGTCTCTGTCGGCGAGAACGTATTCACGAACAAGCTTGTGTCCGGAATCGCCACGCACGCACCGCACGTCGATCCCGCGCTCATCCTGCGCGCCGGCGCCACCTCGCTGCGGAACACCGTGCCCGCGGCGGACCTGCCCGGTGTGCTCATCGCTTACAACGACGCGCTCGTGTCTGCGTTCTACGTCTCGGTCGCGATGGGCGCGCTGTCGCTGTTCGGTGCGCTCGGCATGGAGTGGAAGAGCGTCAAAGGCAAGAACATCGAGATGGCAATGGGCTGAGTTCGGCTCCTCTTGCGATGTGCCTGTATTTCATACGTACTACATATATAGAGTCATTATATCAGCCATCTCAGGAATTTGTAATCTTCTTTGGGTTCAGTTGTCGCAGTTTTGGCAGACACATGAGTTCACACGCTCTAGATCATGTATCTTGGCACGATTTGCAACTCAATGCAGCAAGTAGTCCCCGACTTCACCAATCTGCAAATCCTGCCAGCTTACCGTCCCAGCTCCACCAGATCATCTCATCCTCCTCCGGCGTCCCCTCCGCAGGCTCAGCAAAGTCTACGCCAGGATTCCGACAAGTCAGCCACAATCCCTCTGGCTTCGCGCCGCGCGATTTACCAGCCCGAGTCCGGGAGGTGGCTGCGACCACGTCGCCTGCTTCCTCTCGGAACTCGCGCAGAGTCGCGTCCAATCCCGCGGAGGTCGTCTGCCGGGGCACCCAAGCTGGGTGCTTGAACCGGCGAGGGGCACGGAGGAGGATGTGGATCTGCGTGGGCGCTATGGAGGTGTGGGTGTCAGTTATACAGTGGCGAGCAGGTGGCGTTGAGCACGGACCGAGCTCGCACGACATGCTGTGCTCCGCGGTAGCGAGCGTATGCGAGAGCTGGCGGTTTGCGGAGCGCAGCACTTGTTGTGTGGATTCTTGTAGCGTCGGGATCGGAGCGGGTGCTGGCTGGCTGGGAGGAGGAGATGACTGGAGGGACGGAGACGGAGAGCGGGAGTCAGGTGGAGGAGTGTGTGGGTCATCCTCTGTGTCCGATGGTGGCGCTTCTTCATCGTCCGAGCGTCGGGAATCGTCATCCGAGCTATCACTGTCCGAGATGTCACCATCCTCCTCCTCCCCCTCACTATCGCTGTCATCGTTGTCGTCTCCCTCGAACTCGTCCTCTCGCTCCCCCCACACCTTCGTAACTAGCCCATCGACCGCATACATCACCTTCGTCTTCGCCGCACCGACGCTCGGCCCCACGAGGACGGCCAGGTACCCTTTGCGCGGGGGTCGCGCAACCACAGGGCCACCGTCAACGAGCGCAAGGGCCGTCGAGAGCGCGGCGAACGTTGTGATCAGATGCGAGCCGAGCGTGTCGAACGCGGCGAGCAGGTCTGTGCGGTGCTTCAGCGCTTTAGGCGCGGACTGCACGAGGGGGTCAGTGTGCCAGGCCGACGGCAGCGGGCTGACGGAAGGATTACGCGCCTTGGTACCGGGGATACGAGCGAGCTGCGCGACGGGGCTGGGATGCGGTGTTTAGCGCGCGCGACGACACGGCGGGGAGGGCAGTGTGCTCACAAGGGGATCTGGTTTTTGAGGAACAGGACGTGTCCGACCAGGGATGTAGCGAGTTCTCCGGCGATCTCGGCGCTCAGACCATCCAGATCCAGTGTCAGTCGCGCGACGGTCGAGTCGGGTTTAGAATCTGGTGGCACGGGAGGCTGAGAGATCGCCTCTGGCGCGGTTACGGGCGTTAGTTCAACATTTCTCGAAGTCGCAGAAGATGGCGGGGTCGAGGACGGCGCGAGCACTGGCATTTTCCGTCGTAGAGTCGTCGGCGGTCGAGAGCAAGCCCGGGTGACGGATGGCACGTGCTCGTGTTGCAGATGTCATGCAACACCACGTGGCCAAAGAGATCGTCAGTGTTCGCGCGTGGCCGAAAAAGTATCCTCGCTGAGAGGTGGGAAGACCCCCAGAAGATATTTTTTGAGCAGAGGAACCAATGATTTCTCTGCCGATTCAACGATTAACACAATGTCTACTCTACAGTGAACAGAATCAGGGGACAGCCCTGTGCCCTAGCCCCCGGCATCAACATCCGCACTCGGACGCTTCTTCACGCTCTTCCACTCTAGTGCGAGCGCGCCAAACACAGAGAGTGCACCCGTAGCAACAGAGACATAGATGGCCGCCATCAGCGCGTCGTTGTACGCAAGCAGCACGCCCGGGAGGTCGGCAGCGGGGACCGCGGTGCGCAGGTTCGTGGCGCCGGCGTGGATGACGGTCGAGATGCTGACGTTCGGCGCGCGGGAGGCGACGCGAGAGATGAGCGTGTTCGTGAACACGTTTTGGCTGATCGAAACGCCCAGCGCGCCGCCGCTGTTTGGACAATTGAGAGGGCAAGCAGTGAGGTGCAAAACATCGAAACGCACAGTACTTGGAGGAAAGCCATCACGGCGGTCCCGGTGGGGACGTCCTCAATCTTGAGCACCGCCTGCGCTGCCAAGATCGGCTGCTGGGTCCCGCATCCCATCCCCAGTCCGTAGACGACCTGGTACCCGATCCAGTGCGCGTGGCCAGTCGTCGGCGTGAGGGTCGAGATCAGGCCCGCTCCGATGGCAATGAGCACAGACGCCGCGATCGCGAACGGGGTGTAGTACCCGGTGACCGAGACGAGGACACCGGCGACGAGGGAAGCGACGACGAGGGACATGATCAGCGGCAGATTGTCGATCCCTGATTTCACGGCGGAGACGCCCTTGATGGCCTGGAACCAGAGCGGGAGCTGGTCGCGTTGTCAGCGGGTGCGGCGGCAGTGATGTGCAGCCACTCACGTAGTACACGAGAAGAAAGTACGATGCGCCGGTGAAGAACATGAACCACGCTCCGGCGAGAATGCTGCGCTGCTGCAAGATCCGCGGAGGCACCGTCGCATTCTCCTGTTCCCGGATCTGGACCGCGACGAAGACCGAGAGAAGGAGAGCGGCGACCACGAAGAGCGCGATAATCCGCCCGTTCGACCAGGCGTACCTCGACCCACCCCACTGCAACGCAAGCAGCAGACAGATGATGGCTGGGACAAAGACGAGCGTTCCGACAGGGTCGAATCGACGTATCTTTTGGACGAGAGTCAGGTTCCCGCGAGCCTTGACGCGCGGCGGAGATTTGAAGAAGATGACGATCGTCAAGAGCGTCACCGCTCCTAGCGGGAGATTGACCTGCAAAATCCCATCAGTTGACGCGTCGAGTGCCACGGATTCTCAGACGCACGTAGAAGCACCACCTCCACGTCACTTTGTCGGTGAAAGCACCTCCCAGAAGCGGGCCGGCCACGCTGGCCATGCCATACATCGACCCAATGACTCCCGAGAACATCGGCCGTCGCTCGAGCGGGGCGGAGTTGGCAATGATGATGAGCGCGCCGGAAAAGATGCCAGAGCTGCCCAGACCGGCGATGGCGCGTCCCACGATGAGCGTCGTCGAGTTTTGCGCGACACCGCAGATGAGGGACCCCAGCTCAAAGATGACGATCGCAGCGACGTATACCTGATTTGAGTCGTCAGTTACGTGTAGCTCCGCAAAATATAACTTATTCTGACCCATTTGAGAGAGAGGATCGAGTAGAAGCGCCCGAACAGCAATTGGAACGCGGATGTCGTGAGCAGATATCTTTTTCGTTGTCAGCGCAAAGTTCAACAGGAACACCGAGCAACTGACGCAGAGCCATACCATCCGACATCTGCCAAGCTGTTGAACTGGTCGGTAATTTTGGGGATAGCGGTCGCTGCAAAAAAGTTGTAATTATGCCATGAAGTGACCCGCTTGTGCCGGCCAACTCACCGATGATGGTATTATCCTGCGCCAACGAGATCAGAATGCAAGGCCCGGCGTCTCAGACATAATTCGACCCACCAAGGCGACCAGAAAGACGGACAGGCACAGCGCGAGGACGATCAACGCGAGCTTCATCCCGCGGGGATACTCGACGTCCTCCCCGTCGTGAATTTTCGTGGGCTCCAATTTCTCGGAGTCGCCTGAGGGGGGTGCGATGTGATTTAGCTCGAGTGGATCGGAGAGCATGGTGGATTTTGCGAGTAGCTAGAGGTGTTGGTGCCAACATAGTGCTGCCGAAGCGTGTTCATATAGGACTTGAGCACGGAGGCGAGGGTGAGTCACCTCGGCCGTCTCGGTTCCTTGAGGCCCCGGATGATGACTGCGAAAAACTTTGGTTCCCACAACGTGGTGGAAGTATCCGCCGCGGAGACAAGACGTGGGAAGTGCACGATCAGGGCTTGGCATGACCAGCCTACGCCGGCCCCGAGTCGTAAGTCATGAGCTTGATCCAGTGCGTGGTCCCCGGATCCGATACCTTGAATTCTCTGAGTTCACGACAGAAGAACCACATCGGAGAGTATGCATGCTCTGCACTTGCATGTCGAGATTCGAGTCAGACCCAGGACCAACCAGTTAAGGGTTGAAGTTGGTGCAAGGTAAACGTGACTCAGGCTCGTGACGAGCCCCAAAGCGGCTCGCACCAGCCGCCCACAACGAAACATTTCCCCAGTTTCCTGTCTAAGAATGCTCATAACCGCATCGCCGCGTTCATCCATTGCTGCCGCTCGGTGGCGCTGAGGCCCTCCTTTCTGTGCTCATCTCCGTGCTGGTGACGAATGGATGACCTGTCGCCGGATGCTGAGCTTGCCAACTCGGATAACTGCGAGAGGGAGATACAGGTGTTGAGCCGGGCCGCAAACGTGACCGACATACGTCTGGTATGTCGCGCACTCGCTGTTGCGCACAGCTTGTGGAGATAGCTAGCAGCGCGGCGCGCCTGCCTCCGCTCGGGATCGGCTGTCCGCGCGCGTTTGTCTATGCAAAAGCATGATTCGGCATTGCCTCTCTGTTTCTGTGCTTTTAACTCAAACTTTTGTCAGTCCGTCACTCTGGGATTCAGGACTTTGCAGCAGAGACGACTGGTGATGCGTAAGATCCCTCGAGCTGCTTCGTGATGGAGATCGGGAGGCAGCAAGTGGTTGTACAGAGTGAGCACAATCTATCATGTACCCGTACAATTACATCGGGACCGTCACTTGGAGAAGAGGCTCTCCGTCCATTATGAAATCGAGCTCAGCCCCAATGACACACACCAACCGCACGGGCAAGGCATCACATCGCAAGCATCTCTTCCCCAAGCACCTGTCTCAGCAGCACCTCGACGCGCTCACGGTCCTCGCTGATCCGGCGCATCTCGTCAATCCACCGCGCCTCCCGCTGCTCGTAGATGCCCTTCAGTGCCCCGAGACTGCCCAACGCAGTGCCCAGCGCCCGCCGCAGATCCTCCTCCCGGATCGACGAGTCCGACGACCCGTCCGTGCCCATGAACCGGTCCGCGAGCGAGGTCGGGCTGGCGCGGGCAGCACGCCGCTGGTGCGCTACCTGCCGGAATCCGCTGCGCACAGATCCCAGCGACTGTGCCAGGAGCGGGGAGCGCCTGATCGAGCGCGAGGTGAGCGAGTGCAGTTTCGTCGAGTGCGACGGGGCCGCGAGTAGGACGAGCGTTGCGTCTGTTTGGCGGTCCAGCGCGTTGAACTGGAGGTGGGCAGGGTCAGTGTTTTGTTTCAGAGAAAACGGGGGATAAGTCAACGCACAGCTTGCACGAGGGCATCCCAGCGAGTCTCCCATCGCCTGCGACGCTTTTCCACATTGCCCACAAACGTCGGATGGTATTCGAGATCCAGCAGGTCCTCCTCATCACCGTCCTCATCCTCGTCGACCCAGTCTCCGTCATCGTTGATGCTTCCCTCGGTAACAGTTGCAGAAACCTCGACGACCTTCTGCTCCTCCATCTCCCCGGCAGTCTCCTCCCCAGACGACTCTTCCGGTTCCGGCGTCGAGCGGGGCTGCGTGCTTTCGACGCGCGGCGGAGGTTTCCTCGCTGAAGACAGCCGTCGCAGAGGCGGCTGGTGCACAACGGGCATCTTCTTGACACCTACCGTCGGCGGAATCGGCAGCGCAATCGGCTCGTGGCTCGGGCTGGACTGCATGCTCCGCAGGTCCGAGCGCCCCCCGACGCGAAGCGTCCGATTCGTGTGCAGGAACGCCCACGGGTTGTAGGCGCCGCCTTGGAACGGCGTCGACGCGGGCGAGAACGTCGACTCGGAGATCTGGTCCCCGCCGGCGTTCTGCGCATAAACTTGCCACTGCCGCACGAGCTGCTCCTGGATCGCGCTCGGGTCGTTGTTGATTCCAGACTGGTCGTGTTGTTGTTGCTGCTGATGCTGATGCTGCTGGACAGGTTCGTAGTTGGTGCTTGGCTGTCGCCGCGGTGCTTGATATGGATAGGAGTGGGTCCGGCGCACATGGTTGAACGGATACGGGTAAGGGGACCCGACGGGAACAACTGGGCTGTAAGCCGCTGCACGGTAGTTCGGGTTCAGCGGAGACGGAGACGGCGCCGCCGTCGTGGGCGGGATGGGCGCCTCAGGACGCGGAGACCTGAAGTAGGCTTGGAGCTGTGGGTGATCCATGTAATGATCCTCAAACTCGTGTGCGTAGTACTGCTGTTGCTGTTGCTGTTGCTGCTGCAGCTGCTGCCGCCGGGGCTCGACATAGCGAGGCGGCGGCGCCCGCTCAGGATCTGGTGGCAGCGCAACGAACATCGCGGGATCGAGCGAATGCAAACCCAGTTGATCAGTCGATCCATTCCGCGTCCTCCCGCGAACATTCGCAGCATGGCTCGAATATCGCATATACCGGTCCGGCTCAAACGCATCGTCCAGCGGCAGCGAGGACTGCGGCGATCGCGGGGTGAATCCACCTTGAGAGTCATCCTGGTTGACCATCGTGTCCTCGTCTTCGTCAGTCACGTCTTCCGCCCGATGCTCTGCCCGGCTGTTCCGCCCACCGTGAGTGTACATGTTCGGATCGTAAGGGTTTGCATCGGATGACGGGGTAGGCGAGCTCGAGTGCTCGCTAGTCTCCGCGTACTGGATGTGGTTCGAAGCGGCAGCAGCGGGAAGCTCGTCCTCCTGCTCTTCCTGCACAGGCAGGGAACGTGAGTTGGCTGTCATGGCCTGCAGAGGAGGCGTCTGCCCATGTGTTCCCACCGCCAACAACACAGCAGCAGCAGCATTCGACATCCTGCGAGGCTGCTCTACGGAATACGACCCGTATTCGACCGGAGAGTTCTGCCCTACAAAGGCAGATGTCGGCGGTGAGACAGACTGGCGCGCCTTGGGACTCTCCCGAAGTGGCTGCTGGCGTTGCCGCTGTTGCTGCTGCATTTGCTGCTGTTGGGTCTGCTGCTGCCCTTGCTGCTGCTGCTGCTGTTGTTGGGAATCCAACGTTTTCGGACTGACCCGGTCGGCAGCCCGTATCCGCTCTACAGCCGGATCCAGCTTGGTAGGAACCATGCTGACGGCAGCAGCAGCAGCGGCAGCGGCGGCAGCACCCTGCTGTGACTGCTGAAGATCTGCCCGCTCGATCTCCGCCATCAACTCGTCCGTCATCTTCCAGTTCTCATCCAGCTTCGTCAAGAACTCGGGCGGCGGCCCACGGTTTATCGGCCGCGGATGGTGCGGTGGCGTCACCGCAACGTCGCGCTCGGCCGCGACGTCTTGCGCAGGGGAATGGCGCTGGTGCGGCGGCGAGGGCAGCAGTCGCGAGTTCGGGGGCGATCGGTTCGCGGACGTCGGGCTCCCGTTGCCCTGCTGGAACATGTGCATGACGCTGGGCACGATGGGCATGGATGCCGCTTTCATGTTGCGTGGCCTCAAAGTAGGCGATGGCGACATCTCCCTGGTCTGCATGTGCCCTATTGAGACAAGGCCGTCAGCGATGTTGTTTGGTCACGCCCTGCATGAGGTGGGCGGACAATCTGCGCAGCCAGATCTCCGCGCACAGGACGATGACGGAAGAAAGAAAGAAGACGGAACGGACCTGGTGTGGACGGGTGCGCTTGCGGCTTCCGGGTGCGTTGAAGTTGTTGGGAGTGGCTGGCCATGGAATGGGGGGAGGATGGATCGAGGATGGTCTTTAACGGAGAGAAAAAGAGTCCTGGCCGTTCCAACGTGTTAAGAGGAGACGGTGTCAACCGCACAACAACGAGGCGCCCATCTTCGGTCGTCCATCTTGGGTAACTGCGGCCTCGAGGCTAACCCACACTGCCCGGTCCGAACCTTGATCGATGGAAATCATCGGCAATCGCCAAAACAATAGCTATCACCCGGATAAGATAATCGATTAGATGTAGGCTCAGATCGCTTGTCACTGACTTGGAAGGGGCGATATAAATTAAGCCACAGCTATGGTACATATATGGCTACTTTTCAATCCAGGGCGTCCGGGTACAGCTCGTGTGCCACCCTCTCAGCCTCAACCTCCGCTTCTCCGAGCGGCCCAGCAGCTTTGGCGTTAGCTTTAGCCTCAGTAGATGACTGGGATGCAGACCCAGCCGAAGACTCTGCCGAAGACTCGGCAGCTGAATCTGCCGACGACTCTGCACTCGCTATGGACTCCATGACTGAGCTGATGATACTTTCCTCGACTTGAACCACAGGTGGCGGGGCAGCCTTGCTCTGAGCTTCCTGCTGTTGGCCCGCAAAGACATCTCGACCCGGCTCCGGCTTGACAACAAAGGCAGAAGTGTGCCCTGGCTGCACTTGAGGTGCGGGAGTAGCTCCCCCATATTCTTCGTACTGTGAACGAGGTCAGCCTCAAGGACAGTTAGCCAGCGGGAAGCGTCACCGTGTTTGGGAATTCGTCACTGATGCAAGTCAAAGACCATCCTGTTGCGACAGCAAGCTCACGTACCAGGAAAAGTCCCATGTCTTGAGCCACTTGGCACTAAGACATTTGCCTTTCGTCCAATCCGTGCCATACACAATCGGGCTGAATTTGGCAAAGTTCCAGATGGCGATAAGCACCAGAACACCGGCGATCTGAAGTCGCACCCGAGGGCGAAGCGATGACGTCACCAGATCGAAGACACCAGCGAACAACAGGATGGCGAAGTAAAGTGCGGGGAAGTAGTGGTGCAGGAAGAGCTGTCGACCCATGATGAAGAACGGGAAATAGTGCATGAACCACCCCAAGAACAGGAATCCGCAGATCCCGTCGTACTTGACCACCCGCGCTGAAGGAATAGTAAGCATGTCTGTCCCATGTAGCACAGTGTGCCACGTACAGTTGTCAAAGTCGCGGTAACCCCGCTTCTGACGAAGAACCAGGAAGCCGCGGACGGCGATATAGCTAAACACAGCGAGCGAGCTTAGCCACCAAACAAGAGCGTTGCCCATGAGATAGATCTGACGGTGGTCTTTCACCCAGAAGTTCTGCCTTGCTTTGAGCCATCACATCCAAAAGCATCCTTTAGCACACTCACGATTCCCCGGCGAAGACGAGGCCAAGATTCCGGACGCGAGTCAAACGAATGTCTGTCTGTCAATCCGGCATTTGTCGTCCACATGACCTGCTGGAGCTCCCAGAATTTAGCAAAGAATCCAGGAAGCTTGTAGTTGACTTTCGGGGCATCGGCAGGCACTAAACGTGGTCGATGAGCAGGTTGCGTACCGGACAAACGAAGACTTACGTTCAGGATGCGATGAGGTCTCGATGTACCAGAGTGAGTTTGCCATGACCGCATTCTTGTTGCAAGTGACTTCCTGCTGTTCAAAGCCCCATTCGGGCAACTTGATCTTGTGCGAGAATAGGTAACAGCCGGTCAGGGCATGGCGCAGGCGGAACTTGGTGCGAAGCGTCCTCAAGCGCTGAGACGATTCTTTGTCGCGTTTGTCGCCCTTGACAATCTCGACCCACCAGTCGTCGTTGGCATCTCCGTCAAAGTTCGCCATTCCGTAGGCCGAGACCTCGTTCTGGAAGTCGACCTCGGACACGGGAGGACGAACGTCGTGCGAATGCAGCCGTTTTTCGGTGACGATGTGCTTCAGCTTGATGCGCATTTTATCACGAATATAAACCAGCTCTCCGGGCTTGCCGATCTCCCATGTGCCATTCTCGATGCGCCAGTCGTTGTTGGTGTCACGATGGGGGTACAGAGTGATTTGTTGTTCTGCAGTATGGTCAGCCCTGATACCAGAGGAGTCGGCATCACTCACGTTTGCTGCCCACAGGATAGTTATGGAGATGCGAGTGGAGATAGCCGCCTTGGGTGTTGACGTGACGGAGAGTGATCTGGGACCCAATGGCAACGTCCGCGAATGTGTCTGACATGCCCCGGCCACCCAGTGTATGCTGGAATTCAGAGCTCATGAATCCGTCTCCTTCGCCAGAGCTTCCTAGGATCATAAAGTGGATTTGGAACATCGCCATGTAGAAGAAGATCGGGACCATGATGAGACAGACTGCGCGCGCGACAAAGTGCCGCATCCACAGACGAGGCGAGACGCGAAGATCTCCGAGAAGGATCCAGAGTTGCTGGATGGTGCTCAAGCCGATTGTCGCTATCGTGAAGAGGCCAACCCATTTGGAGCTGACCACCGCGCCGAGCGAAAGGCCGGACATGAGCAGCCAGCCCCACCACGATTCTGTGAACGGCTCGTGCTTGTCCTCGTTGCAGAATCCGACCCAGAAGAATGTCGTGAGGGCGGTGAAGAAGATGAGGGGGGAGTCGAGGAGGATGTAACGGGACTGTGTGACCAGACCGTTTTCAAATGTAACAAAAAGAGAGGCAAGGAGTGCAGTCGTCGCACGGCAGTCAAGGCCGCGGAGAGTAAGATATGAGAGGGGGATAGTCGCCACACCCAGTAGACCGGGTACAAGTCGCATGGCCACGTAGGGGACATCGTCGTACGGTCTGCGGCGCGCTCAGATTCAAAACAACGACAGGGAAACGCGCGACTCACTTTCCAATGTCCTTGAAATCGAATTGCCCGTCGTACCCAAAAATGAAGGCCGCGAAGGTAATCAACAGTTTCGCGAGCGGAGGGTGCACGTCCACGAAGTACTGCGTTTTGATGTACCGACTGGCGAACTTGCCAAAGTGCACCTCGTCGAACCTGGCCGTCCGAGGGATGATGAGGCAAGGAGAGAGCCTGAGACATGGGAAGACTCACACAACACTCGTGGGCTGGGAAATACGAAACAGGCGGACAACGAGCGCGACTATGACCAACGCGATCAGCAGCTTCCACTCCCCAGAGCTGATGTTCATCCCTCCGAGCGGGTAGATCTTTGACGACCGTCCAGGCGCAGCTCCCCGGGACGCTGCCTCGCGTCGTGAATCTGCGTCCAAGTGGTCCTGCCGCGCGTGTGGGAACCGTTGTGATGTGGAATGGGAGCCACCCGATGGTGGGGAGGCCGGCCGTCTTGCACGAAAGTTGCCAGACATGACCGTCAGGGAAAGGGACTGTGCAAATGAAAGGGTAAAGAGGAACGGGAAGAAGAGATGACCGAAAGTATTGTCGACGTGGAGAGCGGTGCTGATGGATACCAGATGGGGATATGGTATGATGGTTATACTTCTGGTTGACTTTTCTATCTCACAAATCGGTCGATTGGCGATTATACATCCAGTAAATTCGAACTCTACCGTTCGGGAACTGCATTAACTATTTCTCTCCAATTCTGGGGTCACCGTCCTCAAATCACGACGCATCAACCATCGTCGCCCACAGCCCGCCCTAGATGAGAATCAGCAGCCATTCCACCAATTTCAGAGTAAATATACAATACCTTGAAATACATCGTCAAGTTGCCTCCGAACGTGACTTTCTCGTGCTTCTTGTACGGGCACGTTTCCCAACTTTTCGGTGGCAAGGTTCCCTCGGGTTGGGCGTCCGATGCCAAATGGAACGTTGAGAATCTCTGCAGCAGGCGGATGAGGAAGAATGAGGCCTCTTGATAAGCAAATTGCTGGCCGAGGCAAATTCGCGGTCCAGCGTTGAATGGAAGGAAGATGTACGGATTCGGAGTTAGGTACTTGTGCAATCGGTCGTCGATGAAGCGGTCCGGATCGAATTCGAGGGCTGAATTTCTTCATTAGTGTTGCGCCGATTTGCGAGTGATTATCAAGTACTTACCAGTGGGCCCCCACAGATCGGTCCTGCGGTGCATGAGGAAAACAGAGTAGATGATCCTGCGATTAGATAAATTCAGTTGAGATCAAACGTTGTCCTTCGGTACTGACTTTGTGTTTGCAGGAACATAGAGAGGCAGGCCCGGAGAAGCGACAGGCCAGGTCGTGGCCTTCTTCGACGTTCTGTGTGGCATCATAAATTATTGGCAATAAGATCCAACTGGACTGCACAAACGTACCTTCCATCAACTGGACTGTTATAGAAACCAACAATTAGTTTCCATCAGATCGACAGTGATCTCAGCGCAAAAACTTACACCGGGGGGTACATTCGCAGAGTTTCTGCGTGATCGTCAGATTCGTTCAAACACTCACACCTGAGGTGAAACGGACCGTTGAGAAATGCTCTCAAATAAGGCATTTTCTTGATGTCCTCGTGAGTCGGACGATTGTTCCCGACGGTGTTCAAGATCTCGCTGCGGAGGCGATCTGAGATCCGAGGATGCTCAGCGAGCATGTAAAGCGACGATGTCAATGTCGCCGCAGTCTTTCGTATTGTCGTGTTGTCAAGACCCCAGTTCTCGTAGTGCACGGAAGACTCACAGTGTCGCGGCCAGCAACCAACATGTTCAATATCTCATCTCGGATGACTTGTTTATCTGAATAAAATCAAACTTCAATATTGCGGGCATCGAGGATAGAAGGCTTCAACGAGCCTTCAGTGCTTTGGACCAAGAATTCCAATAGACTTTCGGGGTTTTCGCTGTCCACATCTCCTTCTTGCTTGCTGCGACTGGCGACTTGTGCCAGAGCGCCATCAATGAGGGGATCAATGAAGCGATCCATGATCTACGGAAGGCATATGTGAACACGTGAACAGATCTACGACAGTCAGAACACTGCACCTTTCGTTGAGCCATAACTTTGTCCTCCCAGAATTCGTTGAGTTCCCATTTACTTCCAAAGCGCGACCGATCGACGTGGAACTGTTGCCCGTCCATGAAGGCATCGACAAATTTGTTCGATGGATGGTTCAGGAACGTGGCGCTTGTCCTTTCAGAGGCATAGTTCGGGTATGGCAAGCCAGCCGAGAGAGAGTCCACAGAATGCCCGAAAAGGAACTTTGTCGCCGAGTCCAGGGTGAAGCGAGATACCACGTCCTGTGACAGAGGTCGGTGCGTTGGCTAATCAGCATGTGAAGTTCAAACCTGGAAATCCACGGGGAAACCTTCGCTGAGGCGCGCTACAGTCTGGTCGAGGGCTTCCTTTGCATGTTTGTCGAATGTGTCGAAATCACTGATCCGGTCTGGCTGCAATTCAAGACCCGTCGCAAAAGGTGGGCTTGCGCATACCTCGAGAAAAGAAGGGCCGCGTCATCCCACGGTGAAATCTGATCGAGTTAGCCTACGCCACACAACCTTGCGCTGACAACGTACTTCCACATTTCATCTAGGAAACACCCGCCGTTAATTCACCACAAAGGAGTCGATCTAACGGGTACACACCATCTGTGTTGAAGACACCGGACCCGAGCAAGGCTGCACCCCGATGGCCCTCGACCGGACCTGGTATCAGCGACTCAAGTGAGCATGTGGAAGCATCTCTCGATCACTTTTTGATGCTAACCCTTCCAGTAATTGTTGAAGTCTGTGGCCAAGATAGCCTGACCAGTTCAGAAACCAAGACGTCATCATTGAAGAGCATGATCTACCTTGACGTAGTTCGGCTCGGTCGTGAAAATCTACGCATTAAGCCGAGTGAGCGACAGGACAAACACAGACTACGCAACTCTGACCCGGTTCTCAAATAACAGGCGGCAGAGGATGGTGTGGCTGTCGAGCTGTTCCATCCACCGACGAATGGCCTCAGCCGGATATCCAAAGTGGGCAAACTCGCCGAGTGTCTTCAGGCTGCGGAAACCCCCTGGCACATCTGGCACTGTCGGAATCCGTTGAGATCCGAGCTGACGAGCATCCCAGCGCTCCCAGGCGAGAGAAAGGAGGATATTCAGAGTCAGCATAGCAGGTTGGGCGACCACCGCGGCGACGTATGGGATCCACCATTGAAGCGTGTAGAACCTCTGCAAGAGGACGAAGACGGTAGCAGAGGGCAGCAGCAGCACGGGAAGAGTGCGAGAGAGGTACGCGAGACCTGGTGGGAGTGCCATGACTTCACTTTACCCGCCGAAGTTGAGAAGCCCCATCTATTTGTACTGATTTCAGGACTCGGCCACAGCTCGGAGATCTCGGTCCTGTAGAGTACCGACCGAAGAATCACAGACCCATGTTGTAAGGTCCGTCGAAATCAGATGCCGTGGGTAGATCAACCTCTCCACTGGTGACTGGTCTTCATCGGGGTAGCGCTGGTAATCCGCCCAAGGCTCATTGACGTCATAAGCAAGTCGAGGGAGACAATGTAACGTCCAGAATTTTCAGAGAATTTTCACAGACGGCGAGTGACCGACCGTGCCGGACATAGTACCATATTCTGTCTCCACAAGACCTGCAGAAAAGTCGTAACTGGCAGTGATGCCTCATCTGCATCATTGATAGCATCACATATCACATCTCGGAATCCCAACTTCCGTCCTAAGGCTCGGAACGCTACCGGCTGGGTATTGATTTCCGACATTTTGGACGTGTCGAGGCCCCGTCGGATCCCCGGTGTGGACTTTCTACTCTGGATCGGCACATTCTAATCAGTAATCCCTGGCGATCCTACCCTTTGGGCATAACTTACCAAATGGAGATGCAGCGTGCTAGTAGCACGTGAAGAAGCGCATTTTAGGCGCACGACCACCAGGCAGCCCCTACAGCGACTATGGCCGATAGCACTCCCGCCGCGCCTGTAGCGCCGCCCCAGCCCGCTCTGACCAAGTCCTCGAATCACAATCTCCCACCCTCCGTGTTCACGCTGCCGCAGACCGCCCAGCTCGAGGCTCTGTATACGATCATCCGATCCAAAGATACCGCACGAGGAGACTTTTTGTTCTACTCCGATCGGATTATTCGGTTGCTGGTGGAGGAGGGGCTGAATCACTTGCCTGTCGTGAAGAAGGTCGTCGAGACACCAACTGTAAGTCGGCCGCGGGCGGCGAATCGATTGCCCGACTGATCGTGTGCAGGGGGCCACGTATGAGGGCGTCGGGTTCGAGGGAAAGATCTGCGGTGTTTCCATCCTGCGGGCGGGTGAGGTGCGAGCTTGCCGTCTGCACGGCTGCACCGAACGCTCAATGCACTGTAGGCGATGGAGGCGGGTCTGCGCGAGGTCTGCCGGAGCGTTCGCATCGGTAAGATCCTCATCCAACGAGTGAGCCCGACCAGTGCATGGGAGGATATACACCGATGATGATATCTTTAGGACGAGGAGACAGCGCTGCCGAAGCTGTTCTATTCCAAGGTGCGGAGTCTGGTTGGCACACACATCACATATCCTCGCTCACATTCTCTCTCTCCCAGTTCCCACAAGACATCGCCTCCCGCTATGTGCTGCTTCTTGATCCAATGCTTGGTTTGTGCACAGTATCTCCATACGGGACATGTGTCTGAAGCCCACAAGCTACCGGAGGCTCTGCGATGAAGGCCGTTGAGGTGCTCATGGATCACGGCGTTCCCGAGGACCGCATCATCTTCATCAATCTCGTTCGTAGCCCGCAACACTGATCTGCTTTTGATGTTGACTGGCCAGCAATAGGTTGCCGCGCCCGAGGGAATCAATAATTTCTGCACCAAGTATCCTCTAGTCAAGATCGTCAGTCATTTGTCCTTATCTTATCTATGCTTCGCTGACCCGGAGATTTCATACACGCTTAGATCACCGGGTGGATAGATCAGGGATTGAATGAAAAGGCATACATCATTCCCGGCCTGGGCGACTTCGGAGAGCGCAGGTAGGTCAATTCATCATCTCGTAACTCTACTTTCTCACTCTCGTTCTCAGGTATTGCGAGTAGGCGCAGATGTTGGAGGAAGTGGTTTTAGGGATTATGTGCCACTGGATAATCGCCTTCTTTACCATCACAGTGGTGGATTCGGAGTACCGGTACAATGGGGAGTGCCGCTGTAGTATCGCGCTTTCCGGTGCGTAAGGTTTGAGCCATGTCGCGCTCTTGAACACCCCTCGATGGCCGGCCGCATCCCTCATCAGCCGATCTTTCGTCACGATCCGGGAAAATTCATGCGTACATTGCCGGTTGTGCGACTTGTCAGCTAATCTTGAACTTGAGCACATTCCACTGCAGAGATGCAAATCCATCCGGCTCACCCGTTTATTCCCGATATGGCTGTGGACGGAACTTTCCATATTGGGCCAGCTACCCGACCTGCTCCGAAAGAGCTGTTCTCGATCAATAGCGATCAATGCCACGCGGTGACGTGACGCGGATAACTCCGGCAGGTTGATCGTTCTGTCAACCTGCCAAGAATGAGACGCTTCATCCTTCTTGCAACACACTCATTTCGCGCCGCGACACGGCTGGCTCTTACTTAGGATGTCCCGCCTCGGGCCAGCTCGCAATCTAGGGCATCGACCCTATTTAAGGCCCGGCACCATGAAATTTTACTCGCCTCACGCGCAACGTCTCTCGCCATGCCTGCGGGTTCTTCCTCCGTCCCTTTGTCCCCCGCCTCGACCATTACATTGCAACCCGTCGAGCCTGCACTCACTGCCACCCATGGACACGATCCAAATGCGCCAGATCTCAGTTTTCCCTCGCATATCCCAGCTATGGAGTATCGCGGAGCTACCGAGACCGGATTCATGGACGCCAAGGACGTGTTGACTCAGAAGGTCGACCCCGAACGCGCATCGAGGCTCGAGAAAATCCATTTTGTGACGTGGGAGGAGAATGACCTCGAGGATCCGAGGAATTGGTCGAATGCCCGCCGATGGTGTAAGTTTCAGAGCCCGTCTCATTGACCCCACCGCTCATCTCTCGCAGATATAACCTTTGTCGTCACTTGCGCGGTGATCTCCGTCACTTTCGGCAGCGCCGTCATCACAGGCGACTTCAAGGACATCCAGGCCGAGTTCCGGGTCGGTGAGGTTGTCGTCGCGCTGTCCGTATCGCTAATGGTGGTCGGATTTGGGTGAGCTGCGACTCTATTTCTGAGGTATAAGGAAGCCGCTGATCGCGTGCCAGCATCGGACCACTCGCCTGGTCACCTTTGAGCGAGATCTATGGGCGGAGACCGCTCATGATCATTCCCTCCCTCTTCTATGTGATCTTCAACATCCCGTGTGCAGTGGCACCCAACATCGAGACACTATTAATCTGTCGTTTCTTTTGCGGGCTCTTTGCATCGGCGCCCTTGACCTTGGCCGGAGGCACTATTTCTGACATATGGGACAACAACGAGCGCGGAATCGCTGTCGCCTTATTCGCTGCTGCGCCGTATGGCGGGCCCGTGCTTGGACCCATTGTCGGTGGATTCGTAGGTCAGAGCTTGGGCTGGCGGTGGATTATATGGGTGAACATGATCTTTGCCGGCGCCGTGTGAGTATCCCTCCCTCCCGAAAGGCCAAGCTTTGCTCATGAACTGGGACAGACTTTTGTTGTGCACATCGCTCCCAGAGACGTTTGCGCCGACTCTGCTCCGCCGACGAGCTGCTCGCCTTCGTGCTGAAACTGGGAATACGGATATTATGACTGAGCAGGAACTCAATGGACAGTCCTTTGCCGACATGATGACCGATACTCTTATCCGACCGTTTCGTGGGTAGTGACTTGCTTCCCAGGCACTCGTGCTGATATATCCCCAGAAATGATCATGACCGAACCTATCCTGCTGCTGATGTCGCTCTTCATCGCCCTGGTATATGGACTCTTGTACGGATTCTTCTTCAGCTTCCCTGTCGTCTTCGGCGAGGGCTATCACTTCACGGACGGTCAAGTCGGGCTGACCTTCTGTTCTGTGTTGATTGGATTGGGGCTGGCGCTTCTGATGACGGTCCGCCTGGAGAAAGACTACTTGAAGCGCGCTGCAGCGAAGGGCGGGCGAGCAGATCCTGAGGATCGGCTGGTGGGCATGATGATCGCTGGACCATTTGTCTCGATCTGTATGTGTGTTTCTTTGCTTGACCTCGCACATGTTGACGTTATTGATAGCACTGTTCATTTTCGGGTGGACCAGCCCACCATTTGTCCAACCTGGAGGTGGAAACTGGGTAGGACCTGCAAGCGCCGGCATCCCATTCGGATTTGGAAGTGCGTTGCTTCCTGACACCTCTGCTCGATCCAAGCTGACTCGATTCCAGTGGTTGTGATCTACTTCTCCGCCAACGCATACCTCATCGACGCGTTCCCGGGCTACGTCGCATCGGCGCTCGCGGCCAAAACCGTCATCCGATCCGGGGCCGGAGCTGCGATGCCGCTGTTCATCGTGCAGATGTATCACGGTCTGGGGAACGGATGGGCTGCATCGCTGCTTGCTTTCCTCGCGCTTGCCATGGTGAGTGAACTCGTCTGCTCTTTCTCCTTCTTTCGCTCATAACTTGGGAAGATACCCATACCAATCTTGTTTTATCGCTATGGGAAGGCCATTAGAGCCAGGTCGCAGCGCGCAGTGTCATAGATTTCGAGTGTTCATGGGTTCAAAGCTGGGGGGATTCGTAGAACTAGAGGGAATTTCAATTGGGTTTAGACCGAAGTGACTGGTTCTCAAGTGAATGTAAAATTTGCAAGCTGTCTTAGTTGTATTACGATTGCCATGCTCGCAACCCCCATCCTAAGAGAGCAGGACAGGGGAAATCAGGCCATGGAATGCCTCTCAATCTTCAGCACCTTCTGTACATCGCGGACCTCCTGGTCCCTCTCATCCAGCCAGTCTCGCTGGTGGCGTGCTTGTGACCGGTCCAGGGCTCTCCCGAAATCAATGACCCGGAAACTGGGCGTCGTCAGCGATCGTTCCGCGGGAGGGAGCGTCAGCGGGCCCGGTTGCACGAGAATGTTCTTCCTGAATGGAGAGCGCTGGAGGATACCAGACATATGTAGCCTGAGAAACAGCGAGAAACATTCCGCTCTGAGGTCGCAGATTAGATTTGAGATACTATGCGCCGATGTACGCACTTTTCGTCGTGTGAAAGACTCTGAGGCTCAATCGGCGTCCCGCAATCCTCCAGCAACATGATCGGGCTAGGCTGAGTGGCATCGTCAACCGAATATCCCGTTTCTGGGACGTAGAATCCGTAGAACTTGGGTACGACGGCACCGACGGGCACGGGGTACTTGATACCCGGCACGAGAGCGTATCCAGAATACGCATCGCTCAAGAACTCTGGAAACGAAGCGGGCGACGCGTAGAGGCATGCTTCATGATCCAGAAACCCGCGTGCCTCAGTCCTAGCGACGGAGACTTTCGCAACTACCCGTGCGGCGGTGGAATCGAATTGAAAGACGGCGTGATACACGTTCGAGTGGTGACCGCATCCGACGCGTGAGCTGCGAGTGAGATAGAGATGCCCGGGGTTTTGCTCTTTCCCGACTTCCGGCAGAAGACGTTTATAGACCAGGACCCCTTGATTCTGTCCGACCCGCGCATCTGGATCGTGCACATGCAGTAGATTTGGGAGATGTGAATGAGAGATGCGTTCTTCGAGTTTGGGGAACCTGGCGGTGTCGAAATAGCTGCCTAGACTGTAGGTTTATGAGAAAGAACCGGGTGTGAGAAGTGGAGTGTGTGACCTTCCTCATTCAAGATCCTACTGCGCTCTGCATCCGCCATGGGCCACGGAGCACAAATCTTCATACAGTGAGCGTCGTCCGACCTTTCTGAAACGCTCAACTCCTCAAAAAGGCTCGTGTTCCACACGTCGCTCCAGGAGTATCCTTCCGATTGATCCGACTTCGCGATGAAAAAGTCGTCGAGAGAGTGACCCCAAAGACAGCCCTCGGGGGTACGCTTGGTACGAAGGACGGCTGAAGAGACCGAAGCAGACACCAGGTTGCCTGGCCGGCGGATTGGACGCGACATTCGAACTCGCACTCACTCAGACCGTGAAACTTCGATGAGATTATCGATGTGGAGGAAGTCAAGTTGGCCGCGGCGGCGTGTCGATTGATCGTGCAAATGGTTCGACCACATCTCCTTCTCGAACTCGACGCTCATGGCCACGATCGGTATCCTAGGCAAGCCTTGTCAACATGCACCCGAGCACATGTCCCGACTCTAGCAAACAGCTTTGCAAGGCGCTTTCGCCGAACATCAAACGCGCATCAAAAGCGTCCGGAGTGCCAAACGCCAGCTCTCGACCCTTCTCGTCAAAACCGCGGATGACCTCGCACGCTGCGACGCTCTGATCATTCCTGGGGGTGGTGTGTACATGACGTGTCTCATCTATCTTCCCGTCCGCTTAATCAGCCTGCGTGTGCACAGAATCCACGACTATAGCGCTGTTGGCTAGACTCGCAGGTCTGATAGAGCCGTTGAAGGAGTTTATCCGCACAAAGCCAGTGTGGGGCACATGTGCAGGCGCCATCTTACTCTCTCGGTCGGTCACTGGCGCGAAGAAGGAGGGTCAAGAGCTGTTCGGTGGGGCATCGGTTGACATTGCGAGGAACGGATGGGGGACCCAGGGCGAGTCGTTTGAGGCGGCTTTGCAGATCGAAGGGATGTCGGCGGGAGATGCCAGCCGCGAACCCAGTCCTTTTACGGGGATCTTTATTCGAGCGCCGGTGGGGCTCCCAGCTTCCTGCTCCAAATCACTTCTTGACCGGCAATCTGCCTTTCTAGGTCATTCTGTCTGTTGCTGCCGAAGCAGACATTTCCGTTATCGCCCGTCTTCCTACCCATCTGCTTCCGGATCCTGATCTGGTCGCTGACGCACACGACCCACGCACGATCGTAGCACTGCGCCAGGGCCAGCACCTGCTCACGACGTTCCACCCCGAGTTAACGCCGGACAACCGGTTCCATGAATATTTCGTTCGACAATGTGTTCTGCCGTCTTTACCGTCGATATAATATCTGGGCGGGTTCAACTGGCCGATGACGTCCCGGCTTCCGGGTTAGAGTTGTTGGTAGTGACTCGCAGCATGCGATCGAAGCTCGGGACACCGTTTCGAAGAGCCCATCCATGCGAATTCGCTACCTGTTGCTGGTGTCTCTCGACGCATCGCCAGCCTTTGTGCCACATGGTGACGATCCCTCTGCTCCGATAGCATAAATACTACGGCTATAAGTAGGACCCTTCGTTCCTTCGCCCACCAGGAGACGACATGTTTCTCGCACTGGGACTCTCCGCTCTCTTGAGCGCCGCCGCGCTCGTGGGCAACGCCAGCGCCCGAGACTCGTTCCCGTCAAAAGCGTACATGCAGCAGCTCCAGGCAGCGTCAGCAGAGCGTTTCACGCGGCCCACTGCACTGGCTGCCACCGCCGGTGTCAAGAACATCACGTTTACCGATCCCCGGGCGTCGGGTGCGTTATCGTCGCATGTGGAGCGAGTGAATGATGTAGATCGTTTTCTGGAACAGCGTTCTACGTCGACGGAAAGAACATTCCTGAGGTCGACTTTGACATTGGGCCTAGCTGGGCCGGCTTGATTCCCATTAGCAGCGATCCCAAGGAGACACGCAAGGTCCGCAAAGCACCCACCAACTGCTGCCTCCCGCGACGATCTAATCGGTTTCTTCCGCGCAGCTCTTCTTCTGGTTCTTCCCGCCTGGCCCGGAGGGCAGTCTTGACGATCTGATCTTCTGGACGAACGGCGGTCCTGGATGCAGTAGTTTGGAGGGTCTCCTGCAGGAGAACGGGGTACGTTGGCTTCGGCGATCATGAGAAGGCTGCAGCTTACTTGGCTTCTACAGCCCTTCTCGTGGCAGCCCGGGACAGCCAAGCCGATACAGAATGTGAACAGCTGGACGAACCTCTCCAGCATGATCTGGATCGAGCAGCCCGTCGGCACAGGCTTCTCTCAAGGAACGCCGAACATCACTGTCCGTTTCCCCGCCTTGTAGACCCGAGATGCCACGCTCAACGCAAGCACAGAACGAAAACGATCTGGCCGCCCAGCTCGTCGGTTTCATGCAGCAGTTCCTGGATATCTTCAAAGAACTCAATGGCAAGAAGTTCTACGTCAGCGGTGAAAGCGTGAGTACTGTTGTTCGACGCTTCAGAGCAGATCATGACGACTCCCCACAGTATGCTGGTCTCTACGTTCCATGCAAGTTTTGTGAACAGTGATTGTTCTTCGTGGCTGATTGAATACATCAGACATTGCAAACTACATCTACGAGCACCCGACCGCACTCAACCTGAGCCTGCAAGGCATCTGGATTGCGGACCGTTCGTCCTCCGTGGTGGCTGTACTCAGATCACTGACCCTGCATCAGCTGTCATCGGCCCGGACGTCGTGCAAGCCCAGATTCCTGTGGTCGACTTTGTGAAGAAGTACCAGAATGTGTTTGCGTTCAAGTGGGTGTATGCGTCAGCCTGTCGCCGTTCATCGGAGTGAACGTTTCGCAGCCAAGAGTTCATGGATGAGCTCGATGCGACCAACAAGCAGTGCAACTATGCGGACTACGTCTCCACACATCTGAACTACCCGCCGAAGGGGATCCTCCCTCTCCCGGCGCGCGCGAAAGCGGCAAACTGCGACCTGTGGGACACGGTCTTCAACCAAGCACTGGTGAAGAACCCGGCGTTCAACATCTACCGCATCTTCGACACGTTCCCCATCCTGTGGGACGTACTCGGCTTCCCGGGCTCGTTCCCCGATGTGCAGCTGGCTCCGCTGTACTTCGACCGCACGGACGTGAAGAAGGCGATCCACGCGCCCACCAACGTGTCCTGGGCCGAGTGCAGCAACGTCGACGTCTTCCCGCGGGGCGATCGCAGCGAGGATTCGTATGTGTCGGTGCTTCCGAACGTGATCGAGAAGAGCCAGCGGACGGTGATTGCACATGGTCTCGCGGACTTTATTCTCATTGCGGAGGGGTGAGTGGCTGTCCATCGCGTGTCATGCGGTACAACATACTGACAAGGAGGACAGCGCACGGATTGTCATTCAGAAGTGAGCCCCCCCATCATTGAGAACTGATTGACTTGTGTCACTGACGACTGTGCCCAGCATGACTTGGAACGGGCTCCAAGGGTTCCAGACTCCGATCGCCAACGACAGCCTCTTGATCGACAGCGTCGGCCCGCTCGGGACAGCACACACCGAGCGCGGGCTCACGTACATTGAAGTCGAGCTGAGCGGACACATGATCCCACAGTACTCGCCGCTGGTGAGCAGAGCCGTGCTCGCATGTTGTCTCTGCAGACCCTGACCCGCTTTATCTCTAGGCCGCTTTCCAGAGCATGTCGTACGTGATGGGATTCAGAGCTTCGCCGTAGTGAGATAAGTAGAGACAGAAAATGTAATGCCAAATGCATGCCGCTGGATAGATGCGAACCTCGCAGTCGGTTCAGCCTTCGTTCCGAACTCACAGTCATACAAACGGTATCGTAGAGCCCATTGGCGGTAGTGGATCGGGGGGACATCCTCAGCAGCTAGTGGATTGTGCTCATCACAATGTTCAAGACAAGAGTCAGTTGGTCGGATCTTCATTGATGGGGCCAGTTCCTCAGATTCGTCCCAAGTCAGACGAGCGCAAATAGGGATATGAGGCGAAGCAGCTCATCTTCATCTGAACTCGGGTTGGGCAAGCATCATGATCCCTCGAAGAAGCAGAGTCGACAGGGCGGAGTACCAAGATTCAGCGGATGCGGATTTTGGCAGAGGAGGCTTGCACAGTCGGAGAAAGCACGGTACGGTCGAAGATCTGCCACAGGGCCCGGCCGACACACCGGAGCGCGGCCAGGAATTCTGGTGTTACCTCGCGCGGGCAGAAGGCTCGTTCCGCGTGTGAGTCCGAGACGACAGCGCGGTTCGTGCCCCCTCAGAGGGGGCATTTGGTCTTCAGCAACGCCGGATCCGCGGAGGGGGAAGCTGAGCCTGAAAATTTGTTAACGGACGCGTCGCGCTAAGAGGGTTTGCAGAGTCTGGTCGCACGCACGGTAAATGACGCTGCGAGATTCGACTTCCCAGCTCTTGAGGAGCTGCAGACGACTAGCGCGTACAGCTTAGCTAGTCAAGTTTGAGAATGGGAAATGTGTTCTAGACATGTTCGAAGACGAAAGGCAAGCGATATTAGCAGGAAAGAACAGACATTGTGAGTGAAGCTGTTTCACGACCCACGACCGATTTTATGTGATGCGGATTCGTGCGGCTTTGGCCTCCAAATCTCGCCTTTCAAAAGTGTCTCACTCTCAGGCTTCTCGATTTCACCATTCTAGCCGACTAGGTGTGCAAGAGGATGAGATCTCAAACTGATGGAAACGAACTTTGACATGGGCAGTTGGAATGGAAAGACAACAAACACGATCACATGATTACGATATGACGAGTGTGTGCAAAGTCGCACGTGTCGATTTGCGTTCTTCCTCAAGTACAACTCTGGATAGCGCCCTCGCGGAGATTCAGTAGCGGAGTGATTTTGAAGTCTCACATATCCTTTCTCTCGGTGTGTTGGAGTTCCTGTGAAGCATGTAGATCTCATCACAGAGTCATGGAGTCGATCGGGGACAATTGTCGTACACTTGTCACTGCAAGGGCCTTCCTCATCACATCTGAGCGCTCCATATGCAGCCTCGGGGAGCTTCATCAGGCAAGTAATGGACATGCGGCGATGGTAGATGTCGGTGCCTTTCCTCGTCATTGCCAAGGAAACGACGGCCAGGGAATGACCTCATGTCGTGATTGCAGGCATGCCGCGCTGTTCCCATGCTGATTCCGCGCCTTTTCTCCGTCCTCCCTCATGTCCTCCGACACGACAAGCCAGGACTCGGACTCGCTGCGGGCTTCGGTTTACGACGTGTTCCTCGAGCTTGGCGTGCTCGACGCGAACAGTCGCGTCGCGGACTGGTTCTTCGCCGATCCTGAGGAAGAGCTGCCGGATCGCGACTCAGAACCCTCCGCGGTCAGGTTCGAAGATGATGGTGCAGCAAAAGAGCCGGTGCCAGCGAAGGAGGGGGTGCCGAGGGGACGCAAGACCAGTCGCCCCACCTCGTTCTCCCGACGGTTCTTCTCCGCCAATGGCAAAGGATCCCTCTTCAAGAGGTCGCATTCGGCAGGCTACGAGAGCGATGATGGATACTTGCAGACACCAACGAAACAACGTTCCAAGCCACCTATGCCTCGCTCGGTCTCGGAGGCCGCCAAGAATCTGTTCCGCAAACGAGCGAAATCTCCCCCGAGCAGTGATGACAGCGACTTCCAAGACTGGCTCGAGCTCGCAGCATCGAGCTCGCGCATTTTCAATCCATCCGCCGACAACGGCGCACCCATCGTGGCGCCTCTTCCGCCGCCAAGCTTTGCAGAGTTCGCCAGTGCGTTCACTGAACCTGCGGATGAAGATGCCGACAGGGACTTGCATACGGTGGCTCTGCCGCACACGTTCCCCTTGCCGCGCGTGCTGTTCCGCCCGACGAACAGCAGCAAGCAGCGGGTGGCGCCCCCAGATGCGGAGAGCACGCCCTCGACGCTGCGGAGAAGCCGTCGCACTCAGTATCGTCGTCCCCAGTCTATGGCTCTTGCATCCAGCCCTCGCGCAGCCTCCTCATTACCCTCCTCGCCCTTCGTCCTCGTCCCGGGAGGTTTGGATCCGCAAACAGCAGCGACAGCGACAACACCCGCGCTTGTGTCCACCCTTGACCATCCTGCGACTCCCCGCTCCATCCGCCGCTTCTCGGACGTGACAGCAACACGGCCAGCGCTCAACCCCCTATCCAGCCATGGCGCGGTGTCCAGCGGTGCGCGACTACGACCGTCGAGCTCTCTCGGATCGCTCCGGGCGGCGTCGGCGCCGCCGCCCGCGTCCGATTACGATTACGAGCACGATCTGCGACGAGGCCGGGAGCCGGCGTTCCCCGCGCATCCGGTGCTTCCCCAGCCGCTGTCGCCTACAATGGGTAGTAGCGCCGAGGCGCGAAACGCGGTGATACAGCGCTACCGCGGCTTTTCGGACGGTTTGGTCGAGCGCATGCCATACCGCACATTCGTGCAGCAGACGGAGATCGAGAACGATGATACGCTGGATGCATGATATCTGCCGGAATGTGCGCGGAACAGAGTATCTGCTTCCGTCTGGTCACTGCTAAGTCACGAGATGGGTTTGCGTCCCTCTGTTTCTTGCACACCTCTTCATTGCCACGAGGCTGTCGCGTTGGGTCAATGGTGCTCCTCTCGTCTTCCTTAGCAATGCGAACTGGAGGGCGCGACTGACAGTTGAAGATATTGTTAACATCTCCTAGCTTTTGTTGGCTGGTCGCTGCGGAGGACGATCTGAGGAGGGGAAGTGAAGTGTAATCGTTGGGATTCTTGACTTGGAATTGTCGTGCGAAGAACTGTAATTGTCGAACTGATGTGGATCTGGAAGATGACGCAGGGTGATTGTCCGTCAAGATCGACTGGATTCGCCAAAGGCGGAGAGTTTTGGTGAAGACGACCTCTTGAAATTTGACTATGATTTTGCTGCTACGTGCGGTCTGATGTCGCAAAGATTGGCGAATGGGTTCATCAACTTTGGGCACGGTAAACACAAGCCAATGGAACGTTGACGCGCACTGGGATTTAGCCCTGAGAGGAGATAGCCTAGAACACACAAGACCCAGGAGCTGCTCTCGAATTCATCTAGCAGCGACGAGCGTTCGACTGCGCTACTCGACACGTGCAGAAGACAACCGACCGCCAATCGGGAAGAGCAAGTATCTAGATCAAGGAAGCGGTGTAGGAGGAGTCCAACGAGAGCTGTGGGTCGTTCAAATTTGATGACCATGCAATGGTGTATGTTTTGGATGACGATGAAGCACAGGCATTGAACAGCTCGAACCGTTGACACGAGTAAGAAGACTAATCAGTAGACGTTCCGTGAGACCTGAGTATGCACGCCCCTGCTCCCTGTAGATGTGGGAGACCAAGCGGAGAGCCTGAAGTCACGCACGATAGCCATCGATAGGACGAAAAAAGGTCGCGAAAGTGGCGAAAATGCGAGCATTAGAGCAGAGCGTTCTCTGAACATCCGTAGATCGTCAAAGGGTTTGGAGGCTTGATAGTTGAGGTCCCTAGCGTATCACTTAAGCGCATCTCTGCTGGGAGACGTAAGAACACTGGTGGATCTGGGTCTTACGACCAAGTTTTTGCAAGCTAAGATCAAAATTCAAGGAAGCATCCGGAATGTGGTCACTTGTGACGCTGTGTGTCACTCGGGAATTCACCCAAACAGACTCTGCTTTCTGGATACGCTCTAATGCCGCACTGGATGCGCTCCTGATTCAGATGCTGTCATGCAGAGTCAGGTGTGGATAAAGCTTTCTTTCATTAGCGGACCCAGATATCGATGGTATGAGCATGTGGAAGCAATGTGGAAGCGTGTTTTTGGAATGCCTGATCACGTTTGTGCAATGACAAATCTCCAATGATCCACACGTTTCGACTCACAAATAGGACATGAGTGCGATTAGAGCATATTACAGGTTCTAGAATTCCACGTTCTCAGGCATCTTCTACAAATCCTCGGTTTATTTGCAGCTCCATCTCTATAATTTGCAGTTCCATCATACTCCAGTTCACACCCTTGTGCCTGCCTGCCTCGCGGCTAGATGATCTCAGAATTTGGCGCTGCTTTTTATTTTGGCAGCTTTTTAGAGTCAAATTCTAGATCTTCTGATACACTCTATAAGAAATCAGAAAAGAAAATATAGCCTTTTGATCACGATGTGTCCCTCGGTCATCCGTCACACTCCCTTGGAGGATGACCTATTTTTGATTACTCCCCAGAACATGCCACGATTTCTGACGGATGTGCACAACGTCATCTCGCTTGATCGCCCATGTCTCTCAATGAGCATGCGCAGAAAAACCGTTAAAAAAACTCCACGAGAAGTCGAGGAGGTCGCGACGGGTCTGGGTCCGCAAAACAGAGAACGGGTGTGTTGTCCCGTAGCGTCGTTTCTGTCTACTCAAATGAGGAAGCGTTCTTCCTCGTGTCTTCCAAACAGCTCAGAGCCGATGGCCCAGGTAACCCATGTGCTCACTGTGCTCGTCGTGGATCACGAGAACGTTGGGTTCTGTCCTGTCCTCTGTTCTCGGCTTCCTGCAAATGCAGACCCTTGGATTGGCCATTTTGAGGCCAAGACATTGTTCACGACGTCTTCGCCGGGCTTCGACATGTGCGATCTTCCGTTGTGTTGGCTTAGAGTCTTGGGCTGGTTCTTCGATCAATTTTCTGGTCAAAGCCCACCTGCTTCGGGTAAAAATGTCTCAGAGGCCGACACTGGCGAAGTCGGAGAAGGTGACGGCGAATCGGTGTTGCCCAAGTTGGAAGCAACCACGCTCCAACTCGATTCCATTTCGGTCACCATCAGTTGGGGAGTCCTGATCAAGTCAATCTCGGGAAAACTCGTTACGCGACCTCGCCGTTTCTCTACATTAGGGTCATTGTAACTGTCCCCGGGCTTGGGAATAGTTACAGACAAGGACGGGAACAGTCTCGATGCATTTCTGTCAGGTCCGGGATGCGGAGCTCTAGGCCGCTGACTATAGATTATCTCGATTCATCACTGCGGGCTGAGAAAGGTAACTCAGCTCGTCTACGAAACGCGAATAAGCAAGTTTTAACTAATTAGAAAAAACAAACTCCTTTTTACACTCGAGGATATTAACTCAAAGAGAGGTAGCGGCTATCTCGCTTGGATGCCTTGGGTTCGTAGCGATCGAGAATATTTTTCAACGTGTACATACATCGGTCACAATGAACGGCCGCCAAATTGAGATCGGAGATCCTCCCCGCCTATGATCATGCGACCAACTGGCAGTAGCCGATCGAAATCCTCAGCTGTGGATGACTGACCGTAGATCTCCGTAGATCCATATCGCAAGTAGCTGTCCTTAGCTGTCTGTGTGTATGCAGCGGACCGAAATGTCCGGGTGCCCCTAGCGCATGGCAGGCTTGCGGAGAGGATAGGTCGCCTCTATGTATATGCACGGGACGGGAGAACACGGGCACACACTGGAAAAAATATCGTCGAGTGATAAGACTCGGGTTCTTTCGGCCTCTGTTGCGTCGTCTGAGTGGTGCTAATTTGCCTTGATGGAAGCTGTAAGTTCAGGTGCAGATAAATCACCATGGTGTTATGTGATATCAGGACTAGAGCTCTCTAGATTGTCCACAGAGGAACAGGCTCCCAAATTTTGTGCAGTATCTCTATCACATATTTGAGCCGTACGCCAACTAAATCCATTAAGCGGTCAGTCTCAAACGGATATTTCGAATAAATTTAATTTGACGGCATTTTTTGCTCCTCCGTGTGAAGAGCTGTACTATGTACTACAAGAAATCGATGGAAAAGACTGGGCTGTCCGCATCCGATTTGCCACTTGGAAATCAATGAAGCTCTTGTGGCTGCTCCGGGGAATGTGGTTACCGGTGACTGGTTTCCTAATTGAACGTGTTCAAAGGATACTCAGGACCGCATCGCACATGAGCTGATGAAACGCTATCTAGGAACCTGCACTGGACCAAATCTCCGCAAGGCGGACGCAAAGCGCTTGGGATCATATCGAGCTGCCTGCACCTGAAACGGATTTCAGAAGCTTCCATTGCAGCACAGCCAAAACCGACGAGGTCGCGACTCGTGCAGGGGATCGTCGGACAATGAAAATGCACTTTGATCTCGTGTCGTTTGCAATAGACGTTCAGCTGACAACTGTCTCAGATTACCTGTTCTTGATGTGGATACGAATCCTATGATTGATCATTCCTTCCTCTTGAATTGGGAGGCGTAGAGCCTCGCCTTTTTGTCTTCTCCAAGGGGTAGGACGACGGAACGGCCAACAAGGCATGTGATGGGCTTTCTTCCAGATCGAGAAGTGAGCGGTGTAAGGAAAGGAATACCAGACGTGGAAGAACGGCCATGGCAGAGTGCTGAATGACAAGATCTCGGAAGTGGAGAGGTTCGATGCGGTGATAGCTCAGTTATGTTGGCTCTGAGGACTTGTTTCGGGACCAATTCCGCGTGAACAGAATGTCTCGAAACAGAATGTGTGCTCAACTTCGATGCAATTCGAGAGGATGAGGCTATTGGATGGCGATTACTGGTTTTAATCATGTTTGCATATCATCAAACAAGACCGTGACTGTCCGAATACCTTTCGTAGTCAATTTTATCAAACCAGTCAGTTCTCAGGCGCTATTCCAAAAAATTAGCAGGGAGTCTTGGTCTCATGAAAGAGTTGATTCTTGTAAACGAACGTACGGGCAACAAAATTGCATCCAAAAGAACTGGCCTGAGATTTACAGAAAAAAACGGCGGCCATGCGGACGTCTCGATTGACAGTCCGACTGATACCGTCTAGGTTACTGCCGTCACAATTTCCTTGCTACTCTGCGTTCGGAGGCAAGAACTGACCGACGGAACCATTCGTCGAGAGCAGTTGAGTTTTTGGAAGTGATTCAAACATTTATTTTCAATCCGTTTGGTACTCTGTAGAAGGGAACAGTCTTTTCCTCCACTGTTACGTAGGGATACCTTGTGTATTCGGTGCATCAATTCCACACATCAAGCTCGGAAAACTAATTGCGATCATGAAGAAACTGTCATGGAAAGATGTAGCTACCAAATTTCAAAATCCGCAGCAGAATGGGTGCCGTCATCTCGCTTCTTCGCATCATATTCTCTCACTTCCTTACTCTGGATGCGTATGTAACAGATATCGTCCGCGAACCGGGCGCCATGCACAGCTGCTCCAAGTAGGGAATCCAGTACACATGCGGAGACATGCGGGGAAAATTAAGCGAATTTTATCCGTTGGATGAGAGAAGGACCTACATCGAGCTATAAAAGCAAGCGTAATTCGAAGGGTGAATAGGCGGCTCACCGGAAATGCAAAACACATCAAAGACCCTCCCCTCACTCTGCGAGTGGTCTCGCACACACATTGGCTCCACTTTTACCGCACCGACGCACGAGCTGACGCTCGCTGCGCTCGATCAGACCTTCTCGCGATCCCTCAAAGCGACCGTGAACGGCAAGCCGGTCGACTTTCACGGCTTTGGTCACATGATCGCAGCGATGTCGGGGCGCGGGAGCAACGGAGGCCCGCATGTTGAGTGGTTGTCTGCACACGAGGAGGAAGAGGAGGATGGGTGCCGAGTGCGTGGTTTCGATATTTTGTTCTGTGTCCTCGACTCATATCTCCACTCAGAGCGGGATTGTAAGAGCGGAATACATTGTCCGAGATATCATTGGGACAATGCCTGGATCGAAGATCCCAATGGAGCTCGAAGTGCACAAGAAGGTTGTCGCGAGGTAGGTGTTGAAGGGCCTGTCTATCCGCACTTGGAATGCTACTGTTCTTCGCCAGAATCGAATCCCAGTCGGCCCGATCAGACCTGGATAGCAGACGAATCGTGACGTTGGATGCGCTGACAAAGATGATCCCAGTCAATCCTTCACGGAAATCACATCTTTGAGCGTATGGGACCGAGCGAGGAGAAAGACAAATGGCAAGTTGGGAACAATTAAGTAGATCACGTGAGTGTTCGGTGAGTGCGATTGGATACTTAATGGGGACCGGCAACGCTGCAAAATCGATGTCACTTTGTACATGTTGTCAAACACGTTCCGATTAGGAAACCTGGTACATACATTGGACACGTCGAAGATTTTGTTTCTAGCTTATTCTTCTCACACAAGAATTGAAAATTTCATCTGTTCTTGTTTGAACAGTTGCTATAACACATGCAGCAATACTAAGGCACTAAAAATGCACTGATATCCATCACTATTCTCCAACTGACATGGATTTCATCTGTCTGAGTTCCTTGTAAACCCCAAAGGGCGGTTTCACATTGAAACACTGTTCAATTTCAACCTTATGTTTGTGTCACCAGTTGCCAGGGCCTCCAAATTGGACCTAATTGTTGAGCACTGGGGAGAGTTGTCATAATTTGATTGTTTTTCACATCATTTCATTGATCATCTTATCTTATCTTGACACAGGGCTATCTTATCATGGATCACAGCATTACATGGTCCAGGTTAGGGGTTCAGAGGGATTATCTGTACATTGAGGCTGCACAACATGTGCACCAGAAGGTTCTACTACAACGCATGACCAGCGTTCCACATGGTACATAGTCTCATGACTCATTTGATGTGGATATGACTCAGACTGGATTTGGGTATAAATAGTGTAGCTATTGTGTTGTATTATATCATAGTTTGACCACTTCTTCATCTTTTTCATCAACAATCTTATCTTATCTCAACACGGGTTATCTTATCATGGATCACAGTGAAATGCTGAGGGCGCACTCACAAGTGAATCTACTGTGAAAGTAAACCCAAATATAAACACGTTCACACTCCTCGTAATCAGCTTCTCAGTGTGTGAAAGATGCGATGTTGATCAAATGATGATCTTATCATCTGCCAGATGGATGTCGTGATACACATCTTATGACTCCATTACGTGTCATCTAGAGTCATGTCGACTCGTCCTAAATAGGCACAAATAGCCCCCTGTATTGTATATAAGGAGGGCTCTATTACCCTTTAATAACAAGTCTCTTGACTACTCCCGCATAGTGCCCACACTAAGCTCTCACTCACACAGGTGAGCTGCTAGACGCTCTCCCCAGTGCTCAACATGCGAGAGCTTCGGGGTGGACAGAGCACCAGTATCACAACTCTCAATAGACGCAGATCCAATAGTCGTGGAAGACAAAGTCGACGACAAGGATATATATATAGCAAAACAATGGTATCTCAACCAATATCTTCTATACAATCAAAACCAACACTAATCCAACCACAACCAACAATATCACAAGTCAGAACTGAATACAAAGTATTAAGATCCCTTGTGGCAACAGTGTCCAAATGGTGACACAAAACCCAAAATACCAAGTCAATGCACTGCCAACTGTCATAGTTTGGCCACTTTTTCATCTTATCATCAATGATCTTATCTTATCTTGGCATGTCTTATCTTATCACAGATCACGGCATCAGACGGTCCGGGCTAGGGGTTCCAGGGATTATCTTTATCGATTCAAGGCTGTGCAACATATGCTCCAGAAGGTTCTACTACAACCCATGACCAGTGTTCCATGCAGTACATAGCCTCATGACTCATTAGTTGTAGATATGACTCAGACTGGACTTGGGTATAAATACTGTAGCTACTTGGTTGTATTCTCCAGTCTTTGAATTCACTTCTCTTTTCAACTTTGTTTTTGGGTTGATTGTCACATAATTCAAAGACTCCCCTCATACCCTCCTACCTCATACCTCTTACCACTGCATCCCTTGCCACTACGCCCGCTATATCCTCTTCACCCTTATCATCTCACTCACCCTTTTACCGAATCATCTAGTCACTTGCTGCGATCACAGTGAAGGGTTCATATCAAGCAAACAGCACCAGGCCACAGGTAATGTTGAGCCCGACCCAAGCCTTACGGTAGCTACAAGGAGTGCTGCGGAGACCTTTGGGAAAACGCACCTCGGGATCATCGGGCACGTGAAGAGCTAGGCCCGGGATCTTTTTGCTAGCAAAAGAACCTTTCCTCAAGTGCTTGTACAGCACATGAATCCACCATTTTGTACCAATTCCCATTGTCGTCAGGGAGTCTGTCTCCTCCCCCCATCCTACCATCGTCGCCCGATCTGGCACATCAAAACCAATCTGGACCCTCCAACCCCTATCTCGCCCTCCCGCTGCCTGAAGACGAGATCCCTGACCTCGACAAGCTGCCCTCCAAACAACCACCCTCACCCCCACCTACCACACCTGCTTGTACCATGTCAGGACACCACCGTATCACCCTTGCCGCCAACCCCCTATTTTGATGGGGACAAGACCAAATACATGGGCTTTGTGGACTTGTGCACCACCTACATCGGTGCCTATCAGTCGGAATTCTTGCAGGATGAAACAAAAATCCTCTTCATCCTCTCCTACCTCTGCAACGAGGCTGGCACAAGCTGCGCCGCCTCGAGTTGGGCAATGAATTGGAAACAATGCAACTTCAAAGGCCAAAAGGGAATGAAGGCTGGGGTCACCTTGGCGACCTTCTTGGAGGAGCTTCAGAGGGCCTTTGGGGACTACAACGCAAAGCAAGTTGCCGCCGCTTGACTCATGGCCCTGTGCCAGAATAAACAATCCTTTGCGGATTATATCTCTGACTTCGAGATACTGGCTGCGGATGCAGGATACAATGTGGTCACCACTACTGACAACAAGGGCAAGTACAAGAAGGGGGATCAAGACAACATCCTCATCGAGTTTCTCAAACGCGGGCTGAGCAGCGAGATTGCAAGTCGCCTCTACAACACGGGTGTCCCTTTGCCCAAGGCATACGGTGCCTTCAATGACTGGTGTGTCAACATCGAGGCAAACGCTCTGCGGGATCAGCTGCGCAAGGCATCATATGGGCACTCCACACCATGACCACCTCCTCAATTCCATCCTCAGGTTGCCCCAACAATGCCTGCACCTGCTCTGGCCCGACCCACTGCCAACACAATGGAAATTGATTGCACCCATGCCCGCAGCCGCAATATCATCTGCTACAACTGTCAGCAGCCTGGGCACATTGCGCAGAACTGCCCAGAGCCAAGAAAGAAGCGCATGTTCTTCAATCGGGCTACAATGCTGGAAGAGATCAAGAATGGGGACAAGGACAACGAGTTCCTCAAGGAGATCGCTGAGAAGCTGCGCAAGAAGGGTTTTTGAAGCACTCCACTCCTCTAGCCAAGGAGGTGGAGCGTCTGGACTATGGACAATATTCTGTACTTGTTTCAATTAAAGATATGAACCATTTGTCAGGGGAACCCCCGCTTCGGACCGCTCTGCCTTTGATCAGGCATGTGATTGCGCTCGCGTGACCTGTCAGCTGTCACGTGCCGCGGCCCAAACTGCCGCGCCGAGCGCTTCTCTCTGATAGGCACATGGTCAGCTGCCCATTGTTCCTATTGTCTCCGCATCCCATTGTTCTGTCATGGCCATTGTACTTATTGTTCCCATTGTTCTTTGTTTGTTGCTGCGCACTCTATTGTTCTTGTATCATATAAATAGTGGTGCCTGGCAAGGAGAATCCCTAACATGGTTTCTCTTTGGATTCTCCCTTGCCAGGTATGCCGGTCTTGTACCTAGCTACCACTATTAACACCTTTGGATTCTCCCTTGCCAGAACTCTGAGATCGGGTCTCGAGGTTGCCCTTACACGATTCTCCACATACATACACAATCTCAGACTCACTACGTACCAATATTCACAATTTTCTCATTGCCAATATGGAAAAGGAACACCAAAGAAAAATAGCTTTGAATAGAGAGTATTTACAGAGCAAGAAGGATCAGAAGGCTGCAGATAAATTATTTTTGGACTCCTACGTATTTATGGCTCGTGGAGAAGGAACCACGTCAACAAAGACCAAAAAGGGGAGCATCGCTCTGGAGGCTCAATCCTTGGAAAAGGAGGAAGCGCCCAAGGAATCTGCTGAAATCAAGGTTCCAGAAGCACCCAAACGCACCAGGGTGCCAGATGCCATCCAGAGGAAATTGGCGGCCAAGAAACAGAAGGGCCCCCAGCCCAGCAGACTGGCGCAGGAATTGCACAGTTACCAGACCAAAAGAAAGAGGCATTCAATGGACGTATATGTCCAGATCAAGGGTCTGGACTCTGGAAAAACGCGCGGAGTCAAGGCGCTGCTCGATAGTGGCTGCAGCACCTGCTGCATTGATACCGACTACATGCGGGCAGAGAAGCTGGATATCCAAGAGCTTCCGCAACCCATCGTGGCTTGTAATGCCGACGACACCGAGAACGTCAGCGGTCAGATCACACATTATGTCGACTTGAGAATGAGAATTGGTCCTTATGTGGAGACATGCACGTTCCTCCTGACGTGCTTAGGGAAGGCCTGGATCTTCATTGGTCTTGACTGGCTGATGGAACACAACCCCGAGGTGGATTGGCAGGAGCACACAATGAGATTCAGCCGATGCCCAGAGCAGTGTCACATGAGGGGTCACGAGGAGCACCAAGCAATGATCAACATGGATGCAATTGACCTGGACACTGGTGCACTGGATCTGGAAGAGGGAGAATTGATCTTGTTGGTCAACTTCAGGAAGGAGGTGGATCTTTGGCTAAAAGAAACGCCGGCGCAGAAATTCACAGAAGAAGCGGAGAAGGAGAAGGAGCGGACGGCTGAAGGGAAAATTCTGGATCAATACCGGCAATTTGTCAAAGTATTTGCCAAGGAATCATTCAACTCACTGCTGGACCAACGGACATGGGACCATGCAATTGAGCTCAAACCTGGTTCCAAAGCAGTGGACTGCAAGGTGCACCTGTTATCACAAAACGAACAGGTCAAAATCGACGAGTTCTTACAAGAGAACCTGGCCAGCAGACGGATCAGGCCATCAAAATCACCCATGGCATCATCATTCTTCTTTGTCAAGAAAAAGGATGGCTTGCTACGCCCCGTCCAAGATTATTGGAAGCTGAATGAGATGACAATGCAAAATCGATATCCACTGTCAGGGGACGCCGCGCTCCTTGGGCACGTGACCATGCACGTGACCCACTGCACCCTCTCTGCCGACCCGTGCCTGCTCACCTGTTGATCACCCAGCCTCCTCCTCCTCCTCCGATCCTCATCTCCATCCATGCCGACATCCGCCCTCTCCCTTCTTCCCCCGGCCATCTCCCTCGAATCCCCGCAAGCGGTCTAGCCAAGCCCGATTCCTTGCACCAGGGAGTGCTACTGCCGTATGCACTCCTCCCCCTTCACTTCGGCCTTCTCCCCGCGGATGTGGTCTACTGCCGTACAGGCTCGTACCAGATGCCCTTGCGCTCATCCGCACCACCCCTCTTCCCAGTTGGGCATTGGTCCTCGCCTCCAATGTCTCCACTGGCCGGCCCGGCACTGGCCTGGCCGCTGGGCTCCTCCAGTGTGGCCTTCCACTGTTGGTGTCTCAGGAGCTGGCCATCACTGGCCCCTCTGAGCCACTCACTATCTTATCTGGGTTTGTCATTATCTACTTGTCATCTGCCATTGTTCCATGGCAGTGATATCCCATCATCATCAGTCACTTGTCACAGCTGACTATATAGTGTGACACCTGGGCACATGGATCCTTGAACCGTTCTCTAAGGATCCCCCTCTGTGCTCAGGTGAGTAGTATACCTCCCTTGTATTTGATAGTCTCTAAGGATCCCCCTCTGTGCTCAGACTCATGTGAGGTTGTTGTGTGCTGTGTGCTCTCTTCCTTTGGGCTGGCAGGAGTTGCCCTTACATCCACTGCCGCTGATCTCCGAAACTGGTCCATAATCTATGCGGCGCCAAGTTCTTCACCAAGCTTGACATCTAGTGGGGATACAACAATGTACAGATCAAAGAGGGCGACAAGTGGAAGGCTGCATTCCGCACAAACCGAGGGCTGTACAAGCCCTTGGTCATGTTCTTTGGCCTCACAAATTCCCTGGCAACCTTTCAAAACATGATGAACAACATACTCCGAGAACTGATCAATGAGGGTTACGTGGTGGTTTATCTTGACAATATATTGATCTTCACAGAGGACTTGGACAAACATCGGCAAATCACAAAACGAGTACTCGAATTGCTCCAAAAACACAAGCTGTACCTGAAACCCGAAAAGTGCAAGTTCGAACACACGGAAATCGAATATTTGGGTGTAATCATTGGACATAACTCAATGCGGATGGACCCTGTCAAGATCAAGGGCGTGATGGAATGGCCAGAACCAAAGAGCGTCAAACAAGTCCAAGCTTTCCTCAGATTCACAAACTTCTATCAGCGCTTTGTCTGGGGATATGTGGAGGTGGACAAGCCGTTGAAACGGCTGACAGGGAAGGCAGGATGGTCATGGGGTACGGACGAGCATGCAGCATTTGATGGATTGAAGAAGAGAATCGCGGAGGATGCGGTCTTAGCACTGCCAAATGACACCGGCCAATATTGTCTGGAAGCCGATGCTTCGGAAGGGGCAACAGGATCTGTTTTGAGCTAAAACCAAGACGGCATTTGGCTCCCAATCGCGTTTATTTCACATGCATTGACCAAAACCGAGCGAAATTACGAGATCTACAACAAGGAAATGCTTGCAATCATGTTATCACTTGACGAATGGAGGCAGCTGCTCCTGGGAGCCACGGAAACGTTTGAGATCTTCACCGATCATCAGAACGTTGAGTACTTCCGGAAGCCACAAAAGCTCAACCGACAACAAGCATGATGGATCACAGAATTGGCAGAATTTGATTTCACCTTATGACACCGGCCCGGCGCACTCAACCGCAAGGCGGATCTCTTGTCTCAATGAGCGGATCACGATCAGGGCAAGAACAACAACAAGGACGTCACACTACTAAAGCCCAAGTTCTTCTGATCACAAGAAGTCACATTCGAGGGGCAGGATCAGCAGCTAATTGATGAGATCAAGGCCACTCGATAGATTGATGGAAGGGTCAAGGCGGCCTTGGAGAAGTCACTCGCTAGATGGAAAAAGGAAGATGGGCTCATCACGTACCATAGGAAGCTCTATGTACCAAGGGACGAGGAGCTGCAAGACAAGATCATTGGGCTACACCATGACACACCTTTGGTTGAACACGCTGGGATCTACCAAACGCAGGAGATGGTGGAAAGGAACTACTGGTGGCCAAGGATGGGAAACCAAATTTGGAAATACATCCAGACGTGCGAGGCATGCCAACGGACCAAGACCAGAAGAGCGAGGACAGGGACTCTGCACCCGCATGCAGTTCCAAACGCACCATGGGAAATCATCTCAATGGATCAAATTGGACCCTTGCCGGTCAGTAACGGGTATGACGCCATTCATGTGTGGTGTGACACCTTCACCAAAATGATCCATGTCGAACCCATTAGTACTGACATCAGCAGCGAGGGAGTGGCACGGTTGACAAGGAACCAAGTCTTCCGCTATCACGGGATCCCTCGCAAGATCATCACCAACAGGGATTCGCGTTACATCAAGGGCTTCATGAAGGAGACAAATTGGATGTCGGGCGTGGAAATGAATCTGGGGACCGCATATCACCCAATCATGGATGGACAAACAGAATCCATGAATCAGGAGATCGAGCACTATCTCCGCATCTACGTCAATTACCATCAGACGGACTGGTTGGAGTGGCTGGGAATGGCGGAGTTCGCATATTACAACAAGATGAACACATCTACCAAAATATCACCGTTCTACGCAAATCACGGATATCACCCATGGAAGGGAGTGGAGCAGCGGATGGAATCAAGGAACGAGTCAGCAGAGGAATTTGTAAAAAGAATCAAAGAAATACAAGACGAAGCAAAAGCGGCACTAGAAAAAGCAAATGAAAAAATGAAAAAAATACTACGATAAACAAAGAAAAGAAGTTCTGGAGTTGAAGGTTGGGATGAAGGTGTACATAGAAGGGGACAATATCGAGACAGACAGACCCTCGAAGAAGATGAGCAACAAGAGATTGGGGCCATACGAGATACTAGAGAAGGTTGGAGCGGCTGCATGGAAGCTGGATTTGCTGGACACGGACCGAAGACACCCAGTGTTCAACGAGTCACTGTTGACACCCTATCACAAACCACCCCCCCATCTCCAAGAAAAGAGACCCGTAGCCAAGATGATCAGAGGAGCAGAAGAGTGGGAAGTCGAAGAAATTGTGAAGGAACGGAACGTTGGCCGAGGAGAGCAGTACTTGGTCAAATGGAAGGGATGGCTGCATAATACCTGGGAACCATCACATCACCTTACCCATGCAAAGAAGGTCCTGAGGGACTGGCAGTGGAAACAATCCAACCCAGACACACGCATTCGCCTCCTGCCAACGCTCGAAGCCAGACACTGGGATTATCTCATCCATCACTACAAACCCGAAGACAAACGCCTTCCATATCCCCAACAGCAACTCTTTGACCCTTACAAGAATGTCTTCACGCCCATTGGCCCAGTCGATGAGGACATCGACCCTAGAGAGGGGGTAATGTCATAGTTCAGCCACTTTTTCATCTTATCTTTGACAGTCTTATCTCATCTTGGCACGGCTTATCTTATCACAGATCACGGCACCTGACGGTCCAGGCTAGGGGTCTAGGGGATCATCTTTATTGATTCGAGGCTGCATGACATATGCTCCGGAAGGTTCTACTACGACCCATGACCAGTGTTCCATGCAGTACATAGCCTCATGACTCATTAGTTGTAGATATGACTCAGACTGGACTTGGGTATAAATACTGTAGCTACTTGGTTGTATTCTCCAGTCTTTGAATTGACTTCTCTTTTCAACATTATTTCTTGTTGATTGTCATATAATTTGAAGACTCCCCTCATACCCTCCTACCTCATACCTCTGTGACAATCAACCCAAAAACAAAGTCGAAAAGAGAAGTGAATTTGAAGACTGGAGAATACAACCAAGTAGCTACAGTATTTATACCCAAGTCCAGTCTGAGTCATATCTACAACTAATGAGTCATGAGGCTATGTACCGCATGGAACACTGGTCATGGGTTGTAGTAGAACCTTCCGGAGCATATGTTGCGCAGCCTTGAATCAATAAAGATAATCCCTGGAACCCCTAGCTCGGACCGTCTGATGCTGTGATCCGTGATAAGATAAGCTGTGCCAAGATGAGATAAGACTGTCGAAGATAAGATGAAGAAGTGGCCGAACTATGACAACCTCTTACCACTGCATCCCTCACTGCTACACCCACTATATCCTCTTAACTCTTATCAACCAATTCATCTTTTTACTGAATCAACTAGTCATTCCCTGTGATCACAGCGAAGGGTTCATCTTGGGCAAACAGCACCAGGCCACAGGTAACATTGAGCCTGACCCAAGCCTTATGGTAGCTACAAGGAGTGCTGCGGAGACCTTTGGGAAAATGCACCTTGGGATCATTGGGCACATGAAGAGCTAGGCCTGGGATCTTTTTGCTAGCAAAAGAACCTTTCCTCGAGTGCTTGTACAGCACACAAATCCACCATTTCGTACCAATTCCCATTGTTGTCTGGGAGTCTGTCTCCTCCCCCCATCATACCATTGTTGCCCGATCTGGTGCATCAAAACCAACCCGGTGATAGGCTGGCTACCAGATGCGCTCTGCACCAGCTCTATAAGGGTGTATTTTTGTGCTTTTACAGAGTTTACTCTTGAACCACTCGGTGTATTATGTTGCAGTTGACAGTGTTGCACTCAGTAGGAGTCAAGGGTCTACCGCCCAGTCGATGACTGTAGATAGTGTCAGCGATAGCAAGGCAGTCAGACCACTACTGTGGAATTGGTCTTATGAGTCTAGACCAGGCTCAGGGCTATTAGTGACAGACACTTGGACCATGACAATTCCCCAAACAGGATACTTTGTTGTGGTGACTCCTCAAAAGGGGTCATGCTCCGCAGATGGGAACTCAGGCTGAAGGGCTTAGCAATGCGCAACGTTCTCAACATTACAACTACTACTAGACAGGACTTGGCGTTACGAGATTGAGCCAATCTTGTCATGGCAACTCCCGGCTTTGGGTTGAACGTTTCCTTAAGATCATGCCACGGCAACGACTTGTCACATGTCAGGATCCACTCGATCACGGGACATTGTGGACACATTGCAGTGACACTTCCAAGTGTCACAGCGAGTTGCGCCCATACCCAAACACATCAAAAGCGACACGGGTTAGATCCGTGAACTGAACCATGTGAGGAACATCTGGCGTGCCTAGGGCCATACGGCTTCTTGGGGCACCCACGTTGGACTCACTTGCCAAGACATACCAGTCGGCCAACCCAGCACGTCCTATTCCAAAAGTATGACGCGGTGGGTTGACCCACATCAAAAGCACCATATGGACAATGGGGTGGGGTCCTGATCAGTCAGGACCTGTCTGATCATTCAACTTTTTCATTACCATAAAAAGCAACCGATCTTAGATAGCGTAGCTACTGTGCAGTTGTACCGGACTTTACTAAGCATTGTTGTAGACAGTATAAGTAGCGCGTTTTTTCTTTGTATTAGGGAGCTTTCCCCTGGACTGTGAATCATACCCATATCAGATTGTTTTGTGCAATTTGCGTGTCACATGATTCTGCCTTAAGAAGTTCTATTATCCCTGCCTGGTCACGACAAGTTGCTCCCAGAGCACTTGTAGCTACTGTGATTTGAGTTTGAGTTGAGATATCAGAAAGTCGGATTCACCGCTTCTGGTTTTTGTCACGGCACCTAGTGTCATTGCCTTTGGGCTTCACTGAGATCGTTTTTCACACCTCTAGTTTGGCAGTGCGTCGACAAGTTGTGCTCGGGTTTTGGACATTGGATATTGGCTGTTAGTTGGCAGTGTGTCGACGCGGCATTTTGGTTTTACTAGTTGGTAGTGCGTCGACTCAGTACTTTGGTTGTGTCAGTTGGCAGTGCGTTAACTTGACATTCTGGTTCTACTAGTTGGCAGTGCGTCGACTTGATATTTGGGCTTTGCGTTGCTATCTGGACGCTGTTGCTACAAGAGATCTTAATACTTTGTATTAAGTTCTGACTTGTGATATTGTTGGTTGTGGTTGGATTAGTGTTGGTTTTGATTGTATAGAAGATATTGGTTGAGATACCATTGTTTTGCTATATATATATCCTTGTCGTTGACTTCGTCTTCTGCGACTATTGGATCTGCATCTATTGAGAGTTGTGATACTGGTGCTCTGTCTACCCCGAAGCCCTTGCATCTTTCACACACTGAGAAGCTGATTACAAGGAGTGTGAACGTGTTTATATTTGGGTTTTACTTTCATAGTAAATTCACCTGTGAGCGCGCCCTCAGCATTTCAACGTGCAGATCATGATCAAGGCAAGAATGACAACAAGGATGTCACATTGCTGAAGCCTGAGTTCTTCTGATCACAAGAAGTCACATTTGAGGGACAGGACCAGCAGCTAATCAATGAAATTAAAGCCGTTTGATCAATCAATGGAAGTGTCAAGGCAGCATTGGAAAAGTCCCTTATAGGATGGAAAAAAGAAGACAGACTCATCACGTATCACTGTGACGATCAACCCAAAAACAAAGTTGATAAGAAAGTAAATTCCAAGACTGGGGAATACAACACAATAGCTACTGTATTTATACCAAGTCTAGTCTGAGTCATATCTACATCAAACAAATCATGAGACTATGTACCGTGTGGAACGCTGGTCATGGGTTGTAGTAGAACCTTCTGGAGCATGTGTCATGCAGCCTTGGATTGATAGAGATAATCCTCCTGAGCCCCTAACCCAGACTGTGTGGTGCTGTGATTTGTGATAAGATAACCCCATATCAAGATAAGATAAGATCATTGAAGAAATGATGAAAAAGTGATTGAATCATGACACCCTAAGGTATTCAATCAATAACATCTCAAATTCGCACCTCCCCACGCAAAGGTAGAGCTTGTTTTTGCAGAGATGTCAGAGGACTTTGTTCACAATTTCCCAGTGACAGTGTGTGACAATCAACCCAAAAATAAAGTCGAAAAGAGAAGTGAATTCGAAGACTGGAGAATACAACCAAGTAGCTACAGTATTTATACCCAAATCCAGTCTGAGTCATATCTACAACTAATGAGTCATAGGGCTATGTACCGCATGGAACGCTGGTCATGGGTCGTAGTAGAACCTTCTGGAGCATATGTCGCGCAGCCTCGAATCGATGAAGATAATCCCTGGAACCCCTAGTCCGGACCGTCTGATGCCGTGATCCGTGATAAGATAAGTCGTGCCAAGATAAGATAAGATCGTCGATGATAAAGTGAAAAAGTGGCCGAACTATGACATTACCCCCTCTCTAGGGTCGATGTCCTCATCGACTAGGCCAATGGGTAAGAAGACGTTCTCGTAAGGGTCGAAGAGCTGTCGTTGGGGATATGGAAGGCGCTCGTCCCTGGGCTTGTAGCGATGAATGAGATAGTCCCAGTGTCCAGCTTCGAGCGTTGGCAGGAGGCGAATGCGTGTGTCTGGATTTGATTGTTTCCTCTGCCAGTCTCTCAGGACGTCCTTTGCGTGGGTAAGGTGACGTGATGGTTCCCAGGTGTTCTCGCTGTGCGGCCATCCCTTCCATTTGACCAAGTACTGTTTTCCTCGGCCGACTTTTCGCTCTTTCACGATTTCTTCGACTTCCCACTCCTCTGCTCCTCCGATCATCTTGGCCACGGGTCTCTTCTCTCGGCGATGGGGGGGTGGTTCGTGATAGGGTGTCAACAGTGACTCGTTGAACACCGGGTGTCTTCGGTCCGTGTTCGGCAAATTCAGCTTCCATGCAGCCGCTCCAACCTTCTCCAGTATCTCGTATGGCCCTAATCTCTTGTCGCTCATCTTCTTCGAAGGCCTGTCTGTCTCGATATTTTCTCCTTCTATGTATACCTTCATCCCAACCTTCAACTCCGGAACTTCTTTTCTTTGTTTATCGTAGTATTTTTTCATTTTTTCTTTTGCTTTTTCCAATGCTGCTTTTGCTTCGTCTTGTATTTCTTTGATTCTTTTTACAAATTCCTCCGCCGACTCGTTCCTTGATTCCATCCGCTGCTCCACTCCCTTCCATGGGTGATATCCGTGATTAGCATAGAACGGCGACATTTTGGTAGACGTGTTCATTTTGTCGTTGTATGCGAACTCCGCCATTCCCAGCCACTCTGACCAGTCCGTCTGATGGTAGTTGACGTAGATACAGAGATAGTGTTCGATCTCCTGATTCATACGCTCCGTCTGTCCATCCGTGATGGGGTGATATGCGGTCCCCGGATTCATTTCCACGCCCAACATCCGATTCGTTTCCTTCATAAAGCCCTTGATGTATCGAGAGTCCCTGTCGGTGATGATTTTGCGGGGGACCCCGTGATAGCGGAAGATTCGGTCCCTGGTTAACCGTGCTACTCCTTCGCTGCTGATGTCAGTACTAATTGGTTCGACATGGATCATTTTGGTGAAGGTGTCACACCACACATGAATTGCGTCATACCCGTTACTGA